GGGATATGCCCGCAACCAAGGTACGTGCCCTTCACCGGACTCGAACCCGGGACCCTTCAGTCCCCAAGCCGACGCTCTATCCATTGAGCCAAACCGGTTTCGGCTGTTGTTCATTTTCTAATTTTATGAGTTGCATATTTAGTCTTTTTTTCTTTCCTAATATGAGCATGTGAGGCTATAAATTTTTTCTCAGTACCATGCAGATGCATCCCACAAATTTTAATATGTTACAATTCTAAGTATTTTCCTTTATGATCTTTCTGACCCAGAAGTTATTCAGAAGTGTGTTTTTAAAGCTTCACACCCAGGAAATTTGTTAATTATGTTTGTTTTTTATTTAAATTCTTTATTGTTTAAAGTGTTAGTTATATTTTTTAAGTTCTTGATTTTTAAGTAAATTGTACTGTGGTCAGGGATCATAGTTCATATGTTACAGATTATTTTAAAGTTGTTGAAATTTACTCTACACCTAAGCCTTGGGTAAATAAGGTTATCTTAAACATTTAGTAAATGCTCACATTTGCTTGAGAACAATGTGTATCCTCCAATTATTGGGTGCTGAGTTCCACAGATGACTATTAGATCAAGCTTGTTGACTACATGTTCAAATCTTACACATCCTATTAGTCACTATTTTGTCTGCTTAATCTGTCAGCTTCTGATAAAGGAATGCTAAAATCATACATAATTCAATTTCACTTTAATTCAATTTTACAAATAGTTATTGACTAGCTGCTGTGTACCAGATATTATCCTTATATCAGTGAACAAAATAGTTGGATTTTTTAATGGTATATAAAGTTTAGTGAAACGAACAGCCATTGAGCAATAAAACATAATAAATAGGGCTGAAACTGGTTTGGCTCAGTGGATAGAGTGCCTTCAGACTGAAAGGTCCCAGGTTCAATTCCAGTCAAGGGCATGTACTTTGGTTGCGGGCACATTCCCAGAAGGGGGTGTGCAAGAGGCAGCTGATCGATGATTCTCTCATCCATGTTCCTAATTCTCTATCCCTCTCTCTTCCTCTCTGTAAAAAAAAAATCAATAAAATATATATTTTTAAAAACATAATAAATAGGTAAATTATGTAGAGTAAATTATATGTTAGAATGTGATAAGTGGTATGCAAAAGAGAGAGAGAAGAGTGAGGGAGACCAGCAGAGTAGGTGGGTGGTTCGGTAGGTGTATTACAGTATTAAATAGTGTGGTAGGGTAGATAGAAAAGGTAAAATTTGAGCCAAAGCTTGAAGAAGGTGAAAGACTGAGCCAAGCACGTGTGTGGAGAAAGTGTTCAGGCAGAGGGACAACCAGTGCAAAGGTCCTGTGGTAGGAGGTTGGAGCGATCAGGAAGCCAGGGTGGCTAACGCTGGTTGACCAAGGGAAGCAGGGCAGTAGGGAGGTCGGAGAGGAAATGAGTCCAGAACACATAGAAGGCCATTGTAGGCGGTTCGGATTTCACACGGAATGGAATGGGACCTGTGCAGGGTTGGGACAGTGGGATGATCTGACATATTTTTAAAGGATCACCTTGGATGTTGTGTTGAAATTAGACTAAAGATGGTCTTGGTAAAAGCAGGGAGCCCAGTTAATATTGCAGTAAACCTGACAAGAGATGATGACTGATTTTAAAAAGCCTAAATTAAATCAATGCCTTGATTCATTTGCTAAATAAAGTTTCAACTCTATTCATCCTCTCGTTCTGTGTTATTGTCATTCACAATTTTACTTCCACTTTGTTTTATACCCTTCAAATCAGTCATTATTATTATTACTATGGCATTATACAGACATTTTAAAATTTAATACATTTGTCAACTTATTCTCAACTTCTTCCTTTCTGTTCTTCTCTCTATGAAGAATTTCTTTTCTTCTGATGGTATATCCTTTAGATGTTCCTTCAGCAAAGGTCTGTTAGTGGACAATTTTATTTGTATTTCTTTATTTTGAGTGATAGTTTAGCTTCTTTCCCTTTATCTTCTGGTTACTATAGTTGCCCTTGGGGAATCTGCTTTTAAATTGAATTACGATTCCTTTGCAGATATCATATCTTTTCTTTCTGGTTGCTTTTAATTTTTTTCTCTTTGTCTTTGATGTTCTGGAGTTTTATTATGGTATTTGAGGCCTGGTCCATGAATTCATGCACTGGTAGGGTCCCTCAGCCTGGCCTGCGCCCTCTGGCAATCTGGAACCCCTCAGGGGATGTCAGACTGCTGGTTTCAGCCAGATCCCTGCAGGCCAGGCTGAGGGACCCCACCAGTGCACAGGCATATAAGATTTTTACTTAATCTCTTCTTTCCCTCTCCCTTCCTCTTTTCCCTCTGAGATTCATCAGTCTGTTCCATGTTTCCATGCCTGTGTGTTGAGTGCCTGCCCCCTAGTGGTCAGTGCATGTCATAGCTACCAGTCAAACAGTTGAACCAGTTGAAATTGCAGAATCTGAGAAGTCATGTCCAGGAGAATTCTGGACAGCTCTCTACTGTCATCTTTGAATACTGCCTCCTTACTGCCCACCATCAATTCTATTCTTCCCTTTTGAAATTTCAACTAGATATATTTAATCCTTTTCATTCAATCCTCCATGTCTCTTAAGCTCTTTCATGTTTCCCATCTCTTTATCTCCTTATGCTGCATTCTGAGAAATTTCTTCAGATCTACATTCTAGATCAATGGTCAGAAACTCATTAGTTAACAGAGCAGCAAATGGTAGCTCACAAGCCGTATGTGGCTTGCGAGCCACAGTTTGCCTATCACTGTTCTAGATCCATTCTGTTCAATGAGTCATTTGTGTTCTTTAACCTGCTCTTAAGGATTTCTCTTTTCAATACTTTATTTTTTACTTCCAAAATTCTGCTTGATTCTTTTTCAGATCTGCCCAGTGACTCATTATGTACTCATGTTTTTTATTCCGTATTGTTTAATAATATTAACATATACCCAATAATTACATGAAGTGCCTGGAAGTCTAATTCTACTGTCAGACATTTCTGCTAACTCGTATTCATGTTTCCTTATGCACTTTGTAATTTTGCATTATGAGCTTAAATTCTATGGGCCTTTATATGTGGGAATTATGTGTGACCTAGATAGAAAGCATATCCCTCTAGAGAAATTTTGAGTTTGTTTTCTAATAATATCCAATAATGTCCCATATGATATTTGGGTGATTTTTTTTCTGGATATTTAGGATATACTTATACTAAAAAATGATTTATTCCCTGACATTCAAATTTATCTAGCCTCCTATATTTCATCTGACAACCTACTGGTATAAAGCCATGGTCTTGCCTCCCATTCCTAAATAGTTGTTTAAACGTCAGCATCTTACTTACCAAAAAAAAAAAAAAAATCACTAAAGAAAAAAAAAAAAAAACAACCCTCCATCTGATCACTCTGGATTCCATTTTTCTTGGTTTTGCTTTCCTCTTGACTTTTGAAAATGGGAGATTTACCTTACTTTCAAAGGGAAGTCTTAGGATTAGTCTTTCTGAAAACAAAAGGCCAAAAAGCTTGCAGGCCACTTCTGCTTCTTGCATTTCCACATACCTCTCCTAAGGCAGTCAGGGCAGGCCTGTGCCCTGCTAGAATGGAGAAGAGGCAAAGTAGAGAGGAGCAAAATAGAAATTGCTATTTCGACAAGTCCCTCTGCACAGATAAGAGGTTTGGCTAGTGTCAGAGCTTGTGTGAGGCCATTCCTGTGCTGACTGAAAAAGACTCCTTTCTCCTTCTCAGTGCACCGCCGTGGAGACTTCTTGGCAAGCCCGGCAGGACCCAAAGGACTCGCTCCATGGAGGGATGCTCGGCGGCGTCGGCAGCCAATGGCTCCAAGGACGGCTTGGATTTCAACCCCATGAAGGAGTACATGGTTCTGAGCACGCAGCAGCAGATAGCGGTGGCAGTGCTGTGCATCCTCCTGGGCCTGCTGAGCGCCCTGGAGAACCTGGCGGTGCTCTACCTGATCCTGTCCTCCCGCCGGCTCCGCAGGAGGCCCTCCTACCTGTTCATCAGCAGCCTGGCGGCCGCTGACTTCCTGGCCAGCGTGGTCTTTGCTTGCAACTTCGTGAACTTCCATGTCTTCCAGGGCGTGGATTCCAAGGCCGTCTTTCTGCTCAAGATTGGCAGCGTGACGCTGACCTTCACGGCCTCGGTAGGCAGCCTGCTGCTGACCGCCATCGACCGCTACCTCTGTTTGCGCTACCCGCCCACCTACAAAGCCCTGCTCACCTGTAGGAAGGCCCTGGTGACCCTGGGCATCATGTGGGTCCTCTCCGCATTCGTCTCCTACCTGCCCCTCATGGGGTGGACTTGCTGTCCCAGCCCCTGCTCCGAGCTCTTCCCGCTGATCCCCAATAACTATCTGCTGGGCTGGCTCCTGTTCATCGCCTTCCTCTTCGCCGGCATCCTCGTCACCTACGGGCACGTCCTCTGGAAGGCCCACCAGCATGTGGCCAGCCTGGCTGAGCACCGGGATGGGCAGGTGCCAGGAATGACCCGGATGAGGCTGGATGTGATGTTGGCCAAGACCCTGGGGGTGGTGCTGGCTGTTCTCTTCGTATGCTGGTTCCCGGCCCTCGTCCTCATGGTCTACAGCCTGGCCACCCCGCTGAGTGACCAGGTCAAGAAGGTCTTTGCCTTTTGCTCCTTGCTCTGCCTTGTCCACTCCATGGCCAACCCCATCATCTACGCCCTGCGGAGCGGGGAGCTCCGCGCCTCTGCCCGCCACCGCCTGGCCTGCTGGAAGAAGCACCTGCGGGGCCTCGGGCCTGAAGGAAAAGAAGAGGGGCCGAGGTCCTCGGTCACTGAGACAGAGGCCGACGGGAAAGTCGCCCCGTGGGCAGATTCCAGGGGTCTGTACTGCTCTGACTGATGATGCAGCCTCGCTCGGAGTTTGGAGCAAGCCACGTCAGAAATCGTGTCACTTCCTGGAGGAGAGAGAGCAGTCTTGACCCTCTCATCTCACTCGAACCAGGCCCAGAGGCCTTGACACCTACCCTTTTTTGCTGATGAGAGTTGGCATTCCTGGAGAGTGCCTGGTCATGCTTATCTGCACAGCTGGGCCCTGTTGGGAGCGGTCACGTGGGCAGGAGGCAAGACGTGTGGGGCAGGCTCAGCGCATGTCAGGTCAGGAAAACCTCCTGGACAAGATGGCTGAGTGCCGGCCTTCTCCAGAGACCACGGAGCCAGGGGGAACCTTCAGGCGCAGCAACGAGGGGCTCGGAGGAAACGTGAGAAGAACAGATTCCTCTCCTGGGATCTCAGGGTCTGGGTGGCTGTTTGGCCAGCCCTTGTTCCTGCTTAACTCTTGGGGCCTTCTTGGTTCTAAGTCACCCCTTCCCACTGAGGATCTTTTCAGGTTACCCTATCCCACTGAAGACCAAGAAGTGTGATTCGATGAGGATTTGTGGGTGTGGATCCTCCTCTTTCGGAGGCAGCAGACAGCCCTCCAGTTAAGGGCATCTTGTTATTAAGGCAACGGTCCTCTTTTTTATTTCAGAGAGGAAGGGAGAGAGAGATGGAAACATCAATGATGAAAGAGAATCTTTGATAGGCTACCTCCTGCACGTGGCACGTGTCCTTGACTGGAATCGAACCCGGGACCCTTCAGTCCACAGGCTGATGCTCTATCCACTAAGCCAAACCAGCTAGGGCTGAGGTATGCTGGCAATGGTCCTCTTTGACTCCTGATAATCCCCACTGTAACCTCTTAGGTCTCTGGGGGATACGGAGGCTGGGGTCACTTGAGACACAGAATCTTCAGAGAATTTTTTTTTTAATAGCATAGGTGGAGATTTATTGAAGAAGAAGTACAGACTCCCACGTGGGGAGAGGAAAGAGTCCCACAGAACTCACTCCCACATCGGGAGGGGGAAGAGTCCCCCAGAGAATTTTATTGACCCTGTGAAGACCTACTTGGTGGCACCACTGGCAGTGGCAGTGTCCCAGTCTAACCCACCTCCAAGAAAAAGGAAGTTAGTCACCAAGTTTTTATAAATCCCCACATTGTTCTCACTCATTCTGAGTTCAGGCCTTTTTATCTCCTCCATACCCCATGGCAAATAATAAACAGAGCAAGTAGTAGAAAGGGGGAATTTCTTTACGACGTGTTAGGCACAGGGCAGACATCCCACAGTCCATTATCTCCAGCAAGAACACAGCCCAGGCTTTTGAAGATCCCAGGAACACCATTATTTTGCATCTCAGGCAGTCTGGGTTCCTAGCAGAGGGGCTTAATCAAATAGAAGGCAAGAGAAATGCTGGTGGCAAGAGGATGGCAAGGAATTCTAATGCAGGTCTTTAGGACCAAAGACAGAATAAATGGAAGAAGATGATTAAACATGTCTTCATTGAGTAATTCATAAGACAAGGTGTCCACTATTCATTCACTCATTCACCCATCCCATAATACATGCCGGGATCTGTGCTAGGTCCTGGATGTCCAGCCATAAATGAGATTCCGCCCCTGTCTAATGGTGGGGAGAGAGTAAATAAAGAAATAAGACCAGTATAGGATACAATGAAAGAAATCAAGGATTGTCAGGGTCATGTGATAAGGATTAATTGAGACAGCTTCAGGTAGGGCAGACCTACTAGGTGCTCTGGTCATAGATACCAGCTGACCTGTAGTGAGTCTTTACTATGTGCCAGGCACTGGGCTAATACTTTTTTTAAAAATTAGTTTGTTTGTTTGTTTATTAGTTAGTTAATCCTCACCTTTGATTTTTTTTTATTGATTAAGGTATTACATATGTGTCCATATCCCCTGATGGCCCCCAATCCCACTCCTGTACATGCCCTCACCCGCTGCTGTCTCTGTGTATTGGTTTTCCTTTGATTTTTTTTAGAGAGAGTGGAAAGAAGGGAGGGAGAGAGAAAGAAACATCAATGTGAGAGAGACACATCAATAGGTTGCCTCCTGCATGTGCCCCAGCTGGGGCCAGGCATCAAACTTGCAACCCAGGTACGTGCCCTTGACTGGGAATTGAACCCTCAACCCTTTGGTGCACAGGCTGGTGCTCTAACCACTGTGAAACACAGGCCAGGGCTGAGCTAAGTACTTTTCTCTTTTTTTTTTTTTTTCTTTTTTTGAGGGGCTAAGTACTTTTAAATGAGGTATTTCATTTGGTCTTCACAATAGCTCGATGAGGATTTGGTGTCCTCATTTTACACATGAGGAACTTCTAAGAGGCAAAATCACTCGCCTGAGGCCACACCGCTAATTCGTATCCAGAGCTGGGGTTTCCAAACCAGTTCTCTTTGACTCCAAAGCCTACCCTCCCACCACTAATCTCTTAACCTAGTTCAGTCAAACTCAGCTTCATTAGAAGAACAGATTGCTACAACCTTAAATCATCATTATTTCTCAGTGTATTTCCTTTTAGGCCCTGTGTTAGTTTCCTGTAACATTTTCCCACATTAAGTGCCTTAAAACAACAGAAATGTATTCTTTCACAGTTCTGGAGGCTGGAGGTGCAAAATCAAGGTGTTGGCAGGGCCATGCTCCCTTCCAAGGTTCAAGCAGAAGATCCTTTCTTGCCTCATCCGACTTCTGGCAGCTTCTGGTGTTCCTTGGTTTGTGGCCACATAACTCCAGTCCCTGCCTGTACATTCACGCAGCCTCCCCAGCCCCTCTGCCTCTTGGTGTCTTCTTTTAAGGACACCAATCATTGGATTAAGGCACACTCTTAATCCAGAATGATTTCACCAAAATTTAACAAGTTACAACTACAAAGTCTATTTCCAAGTCAGGCAACACGCACAGGTTCTGGGTAGACATGAAGTTCTGGGGGACACTATTGATCCCAGTTGAAATGGCATAATTTTTTAAAGGTAAATTTGTGATTCCTTAAAGTTGGGGCATGCCTTCCTCTTCTCATGTTAGCAAAGAAAATGCCTAAAGGCCTGGCATAAATTGAAACTCAGTAAATATTTCTGTAATAAATATAGAGCTTAAAAGTCATTGAATTAAATGCACTTCCAGGCTTTCTACCTCTCTCCTTTTGCAATCTCCTGTTCCAGCTTTAAGTAAAGATCTGGAGGTTATGAAGGAGGAGAGCAAGGAGAGAAGGCACCTCGGATATCACTGAGAACGGCCCCCATTGTTTAGAGGAGGAAACGGGTCCAGACTGTGGATGAGACTTGCCCAAGAAGACCCCATTAGGTGGTGTCTAGTGCGAGAAACCCAGTTTCCCAAGTTCTAATATTGTCCAGTCTGTCACAGCCTCTCTCACCTGTTCCTGCAAATTTGGTTATGAGGATGTTGACCTTCAACAAATAGCCCGATATTTCTCCAGCAAATGGGTTGATTCAGGAACAATAAAGAATTGCAATCCAGGACCTGCGGTCTAACATGCACAAATCCAGAGAACTCTCTGGTGGGCTTCGGAGGGGCTGTTGTATGTGAAGAGTCCACCGAAGGAAACGAAAAGGTTGAAGTATGGAGGTTTTTCATTGGCTGCGTTATGGCAATCTCTCATTGGCTGTTACAGGACAAGGAGGAATCTTTTCTTTCTTGTGTTTAGGTGATAAAGTAGTTATCACTTCCTACTGTAGAAGCAAGGTATGTCTGTCCAATTGGGGTTAATAGTACCCATTGAGTGGCATGTGGCACCTAGCCTTTGACTCTACTTTAAAAGAGGTTTCTGTTTATTAATTTTCACAAGGTTAAGGAGGAATAAAGGTCACAATGTCCCATTTTGCCTTCCCCAAGATGAGTTCAATAACATCAAAGACCGTTATTCTGATCATTAGAAAGTGTGTGAAGTATCCACTTGGTTTTCTTTTTTTAAGGTGTCTGTGCTTTACTGTTTTGGACAATATTTTAGCCTAACCTCACAGAGAAAGAAACACAGATTAGAATAGCTGTTTACTCAGCAATTGCCTTTGTATTTCCTTACAACTCCTAGGATGAGGAAGTGTGTGGTTCTGTCAACACAGGCGCTGTCTCTTTCCGGGTTCAAGAGAGAAGCAGCATGCGGAGAGGGACAGATTCTGGAGACCTGGGTTCTGGTCCCACCTCTGAGCTCAACTAGCTGCATCATCGCGAGCAACTTCTATCCTCTCTCTGGGTCTCCGTTTTCTCCTCCCTCAAATGGAGAGAGGAGGAAAGGGGATTGTTCTCTCAGTTCTCTCACTGAGATGGAGGGACTGGCGGTGCCACTTAGGGTCATTGTACTTCCCACACCTGATGGGCCTCTCCTCCTGTCTGAGCATGCACAGCGCATGCAGGTGTAGAGGACTTGGTGACCTCCCTGCCAGACAACGTTCACACAGGTGCTTCTAGGGCCTGGGACTCCTTTTACTTTATTTTTTAATTACCGTTGGCACTCAATATAACTTTATATTAGTTTCAGGAGTATAGTATAGTGGTTAGACAGTTATATCATCTATGAAGTGATTCCACCTGATAATTCTAGTACCCACCTGAGACCATACATAGTTATTACAATATTTTTTTACTATATTTCCCTATGCTGTAGGATTTGGGGCTCTTAATTTTTTTTACCCTACTATTCTAAAAACATTCCTTTGTGGTGCTTGTATGTCCATCTAATTTTCCAATTAGATGTTAGTTTCTTGGAATGGTTAGGCTCTCAGAATTCCCAAAGCAAGTATCAGATAGGCAAAATGGTCACACCTGCTCTTCCCCTTTCAGCAGCCAGTGTTCTCCCTCCTCACAATGCTTCTGCCCGCATTATCCTACTTTGTTAATTTCTGCCAGGATGGTAACGATGCACCCTTGCATCTGGTGTTCCCGCCTCCAGCTTGCTCTTCCGTGCTACAGCTCAGAAAGTCCGCTATGACTCCCAACGGCCAAATGCACCACACCCTGTTCTCTGTGCACACCCGGCCTCCTACAACCCCACGACTGAATCAATTGATCCCACGACTGAACCCCGCCAGGCAGCCTTCAGAAGTTTTCATGACACCACCAGCCGCCGAGCGCCGTCAACGCCTCGTTGCGTCTTTTCTCCTTCTAAGCGCTAGAGGGCGCACCAGGGCTGGCGGACTCAGAGCGGAAGAGGCTCGGTAGCCAAGCAGCCGGTGCTGACCCCGCCCCTTTCCCCTACCGAGCCAATCATTAGTCCGAGTGGGCGGGGCCTCGCGCCGCGGCTGCGCGGTGAGAGGGGATGGTGGAGGCGGAGGCGGACAGTCGGAGTGAGGTCTCCGGAGATGCAGAGGCGGGCGGTGGGCACCCGGCGGCCGCCGCTGCTGCTGCCGCTGCTGCTGCCGCTGCTGCTGCCGCTGCGGCTGCTGCTGGTCCTCGGCGCGGCCGAGTGGGCGCTCGGGGCTCAGCGCCGCTACACCCCGGACTGGCCGAGCCTGGACGCGCGGCCCCTGCCGGCCTGGTTCGACGAGGCCAAGTTCGGGGTGTTCGTGCACTGGGGCGTGTTCTCGGTGCCGGCCTGGGGCAGCGAGTGGTTCTGGTGGCACTGGAAGGGCGAGGGGCTGCCGCAGTACCGGCGCTTCATGAGCGACAACTTCCCGCCCGGCTTCAGCTACGCCGACTTCGGGCCGCTCTTCACCGCGCGCTTCTTCGACCCGGAGGCCTGGGCCGACCTCTTCCAGGCCGCGGGGGCCAAGTGAGTGGCCGCGGCCGCGGGTGCGGGTGCGGGTGCGGGCGCGGGCGGTGCTCCTCCTGCCGGGGTCGGAGCTATGGGCGGGGGGTGAGGCTGGTGGGGACCGAGCGGAGGGGGGTTACACATCCATCCATCTGATTTAAGATGCCCCAGGTCCTGTGTTTTGTCCCCGGCAGGATGCAGAATGGAGTGTGGCTTGCTTGATCGTAAGGCAAGGTGACCAGACGTCCCGCGACAAATTGTTAAAAATCGGGATTGTCCCGCCAAAAGCGGGACGTCTGCTCACCTTATCATAAAGGCAAGGTGCGCCCGGTTGGGAATTAGGAGAAAATACAAGCTTCAGGCAGGAGGTGGGTGGATGGGAAAGCCCTCGGTGGATGGGGAGCTGCGTGATATCTCATCGTCCACTCCAGGTTGACAAGAAAATCGGGGACTACAGGATTTTAAGCCAGTGGGTATGGAGTCTGGTCCCAGTTCAACTGTGAACTTGGCCAAGGCAGTTTCACTTCCCTGCCGCCTCCGTCCAGGGCCATGGAAAGGGATTGTAGTTGGGTCCTTTCCGCTTTAACATCTCCGAGGGAGAGGGAGGGGCGCTCTGGTGTGCATTGCATTTGGGAAACAGTGCAGATTCGCGTGCACCTGCTCTTCTCAATGCTTTTGCACATGAAAGTGCTCGAGAAATGAATGTGTGAATCGTCTTGAGAACTGCGGAAGCTTGCGTGAGGAAGGTGCAGGGAACCGAAAGTGGAGCGAGCCGGGATGGGGAAGAGAGGCAAGGGCCCGGGGCTGCTGAAGGCCGGCGGGTCCTGGAGAAGTGACCCTTTAGGGCAGGCTGTGGCAGGTGTCACCGCAGGGAGTGGCTACCCTAGTTTGACTGCCGGGCGTGACCCGGGTTGGAGAAAACTAAGCTTGGAGACGGGAGGTTTCCTGGCTCCTGGCTCAGAGCAGCCTCCTACCGCTGTCTCCAGAGGCAGCGTCCAGGTTTTAGTTTCTCTCAGACTTTGAGATTTCTTGTACTGCCCTGGTCGGGTAGCTTATTTGGTAAGAGGGTCGTTTTGGTATGCCAAGGTGAGGGGTTGGATTCCCGGTCAGGGCACATTCAAGAACCAACCAATGAATGAACAGATTGATGTTTCTCTCTCTTTCAAATCAATAAAAAATAGTATCTTATTACTAAGAAATTAAACTGACATTTGGTGTTTGCCATTAAATGTATGGGAATATAAGGCTGGAATAAATAGAGGCGGTGTTCTCTATCTTCTAGGAGCCATAGAGATCCATAAGTTAAAAATGAAAAAAAAATTGCCAAAACCGGTTTGGCTCAGTGGATAGAGCGGATAGAGCTTCGGTCTGCGGACTGAAGGGTCCCGGGTTCGATTCCGGTCAAGGGCATGTACATTGGTTGCAGGCACATCCCCAGTGGGAGGTGTGCAGGGGGCAGCTGATCGATGTTTCTCTCTCATTGATGTTTCTAACTCTCTGTCCCTCTCTCTTCCTCTCTGTAAAAAATCAATAAAATATTTTTTAAATAAAAGTGTAAAAAATTAAAACCTGGGAAACATACTTTGTCCAGACCCCCTATTTCATGGACCAGGGGACTAGCCCAGATATAGAGGGAGGGAACTGATGTCCTAGACTCCAAATCTCACGACTCCAAGCTCTGCCAGAGGGATTGGTCCTCTGCCTGTTTTTTAAGTGGCATGAGATGAGAATGATTTTTACATTTTATTTTAATTAGATATTTTTATTGATTTTAGAGAGGACGAGAGAGGGATAGAGTGGTAGAAACATCAATGATGAGAGAGAATCACCCATCAGCCGCCTCCTGTATGCCCCCTACTGGGGATTGAGCCCACAACCCAGGCATGTTCCCTTGGCCGGAATCGAACCTGGGATCCTTCAGTCCACATACTGATGCTCTCTATCCACTGAGCCAAACTGGCTTGGGCTGATTTTTACATTTTACAAGGGTTATTGCCCTCAAAGCCTGAAATACGATCTGATCCTTAAAGTCTTGGAGCTCCCCACACCAGCCAGTGGTTAAATTATCTCGTTTTTTCCGCCATGAAAGCAAATGAAAGGTTGAGTGATTTGGTGGCTATTTCAACACTCGTCATTTCTCCCCAGCTCTTTTGGGCTTCTGTCGCCTCTATAAATGGGAGGCAGTTCGGGTGGGTTTGGTGAAACAAATAGCTTACTTTTCTGTCTGTTATTTCTAGTAGAGCTTGCTTGCTTCTTTAGAGCAAAGGTTAAGAAAAGCTAATCATTAATTTCTAGAAGGGTGGAAGAATGAGAGCTGAGGTGCACATCTTTTCCCTCTGGGCCTCCTCTTTGGCAGGAGACTGAGGACTGTGGTTTCCTCGAGTTTGTTCCATTCCTGGAGCGATCCCCCTGGGAGCTGTGGCTGCAGCAACTCACACGTCTGTTTCCTGTAGGCGAGTGTCTAATGTTGATGTGAACATCAACGACTCCATCTTTGTAAGCCCTCCATTCTCTCTACTCAAGCTTTTAACTTTGACCAAGCTAACTGTTCCTGGCCAGCATTCACTGCCTTATAGTTAATTAGAGGCTCGGTGCATGAATTTGTGCAAAGGTTGGGGGTCCCTCCCGGCCATCTTGCCCAGTCCCGATTGGGGTAGATCAGGGCCAACGTCTGGGGGAGATTAGCTGTGGGAGTGCACTGACCACCAGGGGGCAGCTCCTGTGTTGAGTGTCTGCCCCCTGATGGCCAGTGTGCATCATAACAATCAGCTGGTCATCTACCATATTTTCCGGCGTATAAGACGACTTTTGAAACGAAAAAAAGCCTGCTCAGATTGGCCAGAGTCAGAGAGGTGGTCTATTAAAAAAAAGAACTGGTGTTGCCTCGGAAGTGGGGGGTAGTCTTATACAGCGAATATAAGATCCATCAGCAGATGATTGGATCAAAAAACTGTGGTACATCTACACAATGGAATACTATGCTGCCATAAAAAAGAAGGAATTCTCATCATTTGCAGCAACCTGGATAGAACTAGAGAATATCATGCTGAGTGAAATAAGCCAGTCAATGAAAGAGAAATACCACATGACCTCACTCATTTATGGATATTAAAGAACATTATAAATTGACAAACCAAAAGTCAGATATAAAGACAGTAAAGCAACAAGCAGACTGTAAAATTACAGTGGGGAGGGTAGGGAGATAAGAGATCAACCGAAGGACTTGTATACACGCATATAAGTACAACCAATGGACACAAAACTCTGGGGAGGGAGGGTATGTATAGGAGGGGGGGCAATGTTAAAATATGTACACAGATAATAATTTAATTAAAAAAATAAATTTTAAAAAATAAAACTGCAAAAAATAAAATAAAAAAACTGGTGTTGCCTCGGAAGTGGGGAGTAGTCTTAAACAGCGAATATAGGCCTAAACCTATGTTTTAACTGTAAAATTAGGAGGGTCATCTTATACACCGGAAAATACGGTAGCTGTCACTTAGGCTTTTATATATATAGACTAGAGGCCCGATGTATGAAATTCGTGGGGGGGTGGGGGAGGAATGTCCCTCAGCCCAGCCTGCACCCTCTCCAATCTGGGACTCCTTTCATAATCCAGGACTGCTGGCTCCCAACTGCTCACCTGCCTGCCTTCCTGATTGCCTGTAACTGCTTCTGCCTGCCAGCCTGATCACCCCCTAACTGCTCCCCTGCCAGCCTGATTGCCCATAACTGTCCTTCCCTGCAGGCCTGGTCACCCCTAACTGCCCTCTCCTGCTGCCATCTTGTGGTGGCCATCTTGTCCACATGGGGGCAGCCATCTTGGACCACATGGGGGCAACTATCTTGTGTGTTAGAGTGAGTCAATTTGCATATTATTATTTTATTATCAATAGATAGGATAGAGGCCTGGTGCACAGGTGGGGGCCAGCTTGTTTGCCCTGAAAGGTGTCCCGGATCAGGGTGGGGGTTCCCTTGGGGCATAGGGCGGCCTGGGCAAGGGGCTAATCACCCCCTCGCCCAGGTGGTTTGCAAGCCAGTCACACCCCCTGGTGACCCAAGTGTAGGCCCTGGTATCTGGGATTTATTTATCTTCTATAATTGAAATTTTGTAGCCTTGAGCAGAGGCCAGGGCCAGCCAGGAAGCTTGGCTTCCTCCATCACCAGGGGCAACCCATGCCTCTTGCTCTTTCCAACTCCGGGGCTGTCGCCATTTTTGTTGGTATTTATCTATCTTCTATAATTGAAACTTTGTAGCCTTGAGTGGAGGCCAGGGCTAGCCAGAGTGGGCAGGAAGCTTGGCTTTTTCTATTGCCCGGGAAACCCAAGCCTCCTGCTCGCTCTGTGGCTGCAGCCATCGTGGTTGGGTTAATTTGCATACTCACTTCTGATTGGTTGTGGGTGTGGCTGGTGGAGGTAGCAGAGAAACGGTCAATTTGCCTGTTTCTCTTTTATTAGTGTAGATGACTACTGTTCTGTAAGCCTATTCAATATAATCAAAGATTCTTGTCAGTAAGTGGCCAGGATGGTACCGCAGCAGAGACCTATATTAAGTTAGGTGTGGCTGTCAATTTTAAGCAATTTTCCATAAAACCACCAGGAGGTAGGGTTCCGGCTCATAAGGCATTTTTAGGCCCTGTGTCTTGTCAATCATCAGTAGTTCAGCTGTATTATAAAGCATTCACTGCAATAATTGTTAAAGCAGTGGAGACTGAGCTGCACAGAACTACCAGGATTGTCTGTCCAACCCGACCCTCCATCCCTGTAACTAAGTTACCCTGTAATAATAACGTCGTATTCTGTGGAGTTGCCTGCTTTGATTTTTGGTTTTGAGACACATTGACAGTTGGTGGTCACCATATCTTCGCTCCACATTCAAACAGCCAGTTCTCCCTACCATTCCCAAAGCTGCAGTCACGCTGGTAAGGTCATGCTCGTGGACCGCTGCCCACTGTCTTTGCTCATACGGTTTTGATGTTCACAGGTATGTGGTCCTGACAACAAAGCATCACGAAGGCTTCACTAACTGGCCAAGCCCGGTGTCATGGAACTGGAATTCTCAGGATGTGGGGCCCCATCGTGACTTGGTTGGTGAGTTGGGAACAGCCATCCGGAAGAGGTGTGTGTGCTGTAGTTAATCCGTCATTGCTCTTGACCTAGCAGTCATCCAGTGTGCCATACCTTCAATACGCTTGTGTTTTCTAAGTTTGCATTTAGCCAGTGCCTGAACTGGCAGTGTTTGATGCTTGTCTGTTTTTATGTGGCCAAAGGTGACATTAATCCATGGCTCTGTCCGGTTGGGTGAAGGATACCTTACAAAGACCACAGTGGCCCATTTGTACTCTGAGAAGGATTCTTTCTGGAGAGCTTCCAACCCAGGTCCTTTTCCAGTGTCTGATGGCAGTGTCCCCTTCATTGTCAACACAGGTCTTTGCCGGCATTCAGGGAAGGTTTGGGTAAATGACAGATCAAGAGGGAACTGAAAAAGGCAGTTAAAGCAGCAAAAAGTTAAGGAGCCACTGGGTTGATTCTAACTAATGGGTGAATGGGAGTGGGGAGAGATTGACCAAAGAACTTACAAAAAAAATTTAAAAATATTTTTTTAAAGAAGTAGTTTCCCAAGATCAAAGAGCTAGGAAGTGGCAGAAGTGGGATTTGAACTCAGGTCTTCTGGTTTTGGACCCCACAGTTCTGGGTACGTTTGCCTGTAAGGAGGAAAGTGGTATTTGGGGCATGCTCTGTTGTGATCTGGCAAACTTGATATGTTATTTAAGGGGTGGGCTAGCTGCCTGTTTGTGCTAAGGAAGTTTGATTGGAACATAGCTATGCCCATTTATGTGCTCTGAGTTAGGATAAAGACCACAAGCCTGCAAAGCCTAAAATACTACCTGGCCCCTTAAGAAAGGGTGCTGACTCTTGTCACCTGTTTAAGATTCAATGTCCCTCTGATAACTCTGAGGTGTTGATCAGAATACTTATCTTCTTTGAATCTGTTTAGTTCCTGAGTCAGATGAAACCACTTCAGTTCCTCTGTCTTATCTGTGCCATTACAATGTACCTTCCTTCTTACTTGCATCTTAGTGTTTCGATAACACTCACCAGTCTTAACTCAAAACAATTTTCTTGTAAATGAAAATAGGTCACTTTAGCCGAAACCGGTTTGGCTCAGTGGATAGAACGTATGCCTGCGGACTGAAAGGTCCCAGGTTCAATTCCGGTCAAGGGCATGTACCTTGGTTGCGGGCACATCCCCGGTAGGGGGTGTGCAAGAGGCAGCTGATCGATGATTCTCTCTCATCCATGTTTCTAACTCTCTATTCCTCACTCTTCCTCTCTGTAAAATACCTATCAATAAAATATATAAAAAAAGAAAATAGGTAACTTTAACCGTGTTTCCCTTTGGGTTTGTTAAAACCAATTAGCCAAGTCTAGCTGGTGTTGCTCACTGGTTGAGCATCAATCCATGAGCCAGGTGGTCACAGTTCCATTCCAAGTCAGGGCACATGCCCGGGTTGCAGGCTTAATCCTCAATAGGGGGCATGCAGGGAGCAGCCAATCTATAATTCTCTCTCAGCATTGTTCCTATCTCTCCTTTTCCCTTCTTCTCTCTGAAATCAATAAAAACTGTTAGTCAATCTTAGAAAAATAAAACAAGAAACCATTGACCCACCTCCACCCCTCCTTTCCCCCTCTCCCCCCAGGCCTTCACCACACTATTGTCTGTGCCAATGAATTAGGCATACATGTATGTAAGTTCTTTGTTCAATCTCTCCCCACTCCCATTCCCCCATTAGTTAGAATCAACCCAGGGGCTCCTTAACTTTTTTGCTGCTTTAACTGCCCTTTTCAGTTCCCTCTTGATCTGTCACTTACCCAAACCTTCCCTGAATGCCGGCAAAGATATGTGTTGACAATGAAAGGGGAACAAAGGTGAGAGTCCCTGCCGTCCGTCAGACAGTGGAAAAGGACTTGGGTTGGAAGGCTTTCCAACATTTCTTTAAAACGTAGTCTTATGATTGACAGATAAAACATTTCTTTAAATGGACTATATGTTATTATTGAGATAGTTGACTTAAAAGTTAAAAGATGCCCTAGCTGGTCTGGCTCAGTGGATAGAGCATCAGCCTCCAGATTGAAGGGTCCTGGGTTTGATTCCAGTCAAGGGCACATGCCCGGGTTGATCCCCAGTAGGGGGAGTGCAGGAGGCAGCCGATCAATGATTCTCTCTCATCATTGAAGTTTCTGTCTCTTCCTCTCCCTTTCTAAAATCAATAAAAATATATTTTTAAAAATTAAAAGGTTTAAATGACATTTGATAAAAGATATATATGTATAAAAAGTAGTTATGTGTACTATCAAAAACATAGTAAACCCAATCATTGTAATTGGTTGTGAATGATAAGAGATCATTTTTAAGTTAATGGTTTTGGATCCCTCCCCCCATGCCATCAGGATATAAAAATGCTGCCACTGATTGTTTTTAAATAAACTATTTTTTCTTTACTTAATGACAGTTGTTGGCCTGTTTTTCTGTTTAAGGAACATACGATATGGACTGTATCACTCACTCTTCGAATGGTTCCATCCACTCTACCTACTTGATAAGAAAAATGGCTTCAAAACACAGTATTTTGTCTATGGGAAAACAATGCCAGAGCTATATGAACTTGTGAACAGGTAAAACACAGTAATGTTTGGGGCCTTATTACTTTTCTCAATGAAATCAGAGAAGTTGGGGGGGAAAGGAGAAAAGGTGGAATATGAAAAAAATCTAGAGGACATCAGAATAATAAAAGTTGTGGTTATATTGAGACAAAGTGTATTTTTCCTCCTACTCTTCAGAACTCCCGTGATGTGGTCATATTACCCTTACAAATTGAACCACACAGTCCCAGATGGTAGAAAGTCAGAACTGAGTTCCCTCCTTGCGTGCCATTTTCTTTGTCTGACCTTGGAGAGGCAACAGGGTCTAATGGGCCCTAGACCTGCCAGGGACTTGGCATCCGGCAGATTTGCCTTGAATCCTGGTTCTCCCTACTTACAGAGCCTTAACCCGATCACCCTTCTGAGCCTCAGCTTCTCACCATAAAGTGAGGCTAAGGATGCCTTCTTACGGCGCTCAGAGTAATATGTGAACAGTATCTCACCGTGCTGTACAGATAAATGTTATTGTTATTCTTCAAATTACCACTTTCACTTTGGGATTTGTCTTCATCTTGCTTCATTCCTGGTTTCCCTTCTCACACCTTATTGCTTAAGAGGCAGCTATCGCTGCCCTGGCCAACTTGGCTCAGTGGATAGAGCATCAGCCTGAGGACTGAGGGGTCACGGGTTCAGTTCTGGCCAACAGCACGTGCCTGGGTTGTGGGCTCAGTCCCCAGTACGGGGTGTGCAGGAGGCAGCCGATCAATGATTCTCTCTCATCGTTGATGTTTCTATCTCTCCTTCTCCCTTCCTCTCTGAAATCAATAAAGAAAGACATTTTTTTTTTTAAAGGCAGCTATCTCTGCCTGGACACTCATTTTGGGGGGATTTAAGGAGTGGGGTCTCAGACCCTCCTTGCATCCAGATGACTTTTATCTTTTTTTTTTTTTCTTTTTAAAAATATATTTGTATTGCTTTCAGAGAGGATGGGAGAGGGAGAGACATAGAAGCAGCAGTGATGAGAGAGAATGGTTGATCGGCTGCCTCCTGCATGCCCTACTGGGGATCAAGCCTGCAACCTGGGCATGTGCCCTTGACCAAATCAAACCCAGGACCCCTCAGTCCGCAGGACTCTATCCACCGAACCAAACCGGCTAGGGCAAGATGACTTCTCTGAGGAAAAGGTACCATCGTAAGAGACCAGCAGAGGCTTAGAGTCAGAACTGGACCTGAAATCCAGTTCCTTCAAGCTTCTTAATTTTCTATAAATCTGTTTATTTATCTGAGAAATGGGGATAATATGCACCATAGGATCATTGTAAGAACTAATGAGGTAATGAACATAAAGCGCCTAGTACAGTTTCTCGTACACAGTGAAATGCAGATTCTGCTATATTTTGCCTCTTACACAGGCAGTCCCTTTCCTGGAGTCTATTTGCGGTCCTAACTACGGAGTACAGTATAGGAGTTGGCAGCAGGCAGATTTGCATTTGAGTTCCAGTTCTTGTTTGCTTACAAGCGTTTTCACCTAAAACAAATTGCCCTGCCCAGACCGGTTTTGCTCGGTGGATAGAGCGTCGGTCTGCGGACTGAAGGGTCCCAGGTTCGATTCGGGTCAAGGGCATGTACCTTGGTTGTGGGCACATCCCCGGTAGGAGGTGTGCAGGAGGCAGCTGATCAATGTTTCTCTCCAATCGATGTTTCTGACTCTCTATCCCTCTCCCTTCCTCTCTGTAAAAAAAAAAACAAACAACATATTGCCCTGCTGAGTGTCAGATTCCTGCTCTCTAAGGTGGGACTAATGATGCTTATCTTATAGGTGTATACGCACACTCACACCTCCGAAGGCTCAGAGTAATGACTTGTGAAAGGGGCAACTGTGGCCAGGGAGTTCTATAAATCCCTGGATTGGGCAGAATAGTTCAGGCTCTTAATATATCTTGTTCTTGATGTTGTTATTCCTCACCTGAGAGTATTTTTCCTGTTGATTTTTAGAGTGAATGGAAGGAAGGAAGGAGGGAAGGAGAGTGGGAGGGAGCAAGGAAGGAATGGTGCTTCAGAATCCTGTAGTTCTGAAGCACCATTCTTTTCGTTGGAATTAGTTGCTGAAAGGAGACCAGATTATATAATACTGATTACAGCTCTACTTATGAAAAAGACATTAAAAAAAGAAAGATTTAGGGGGAAATATTCCCAAATGCTGTGTATTAAACATGGTTATGCTAGCAGAGGCATTTTGGGTGGTTGTTTTTGTCTCTTTAGTTTTCCACATTCTCTGCACTATGGTAATTTTATGGCACTTTCAAAATTGATGAGCCCTGGCGGGTGTGACTCAGTTGATTGGAGCGTCGTCCTGTATACCAAAAAGTTACAGGTTCAATTCCCAATCAGGGACATACCCAGATTGTGGATTTGATCCCCAATTGGGGGGTATCTGAAAGACAACCAACCAGTGTTTCTCTCTCTCTCTCTCTGTCTCTCTCTCATCAATAAAAATATATCCCTGGGTGAGGATTTAAAGAAAAAAAGGTGAAAGAAGATTTATAAGTATGTGTTTCAAAAATGATTGGTAAGACTTCTGAGAACGGATTCAGATAATAAACTTTGTCCTCACTGCATGTCTTTCAGGTATAAGCCTGACCTGATTTGGTCTGACGGAGACTGGGAAAGTCCTGATGCTTACTGGAACTCCACAGGTTTTCTTTCCTGGCTCTACAGTGACAGCCCAGTTAAGGTAAGTGATCATAGGACTTCCGTCTGATTTCTCTGTTGTGATACAAGACAGTATAAGGAGAGGATCTGGAGTAATAACATCTCCATGGGGGTGCTAGGGACCCAGGGATGTAATGGATGTTAAAAGTTTCTCTGTTAAAGCAGCCAATCGATGATTCTCTCTCATCATTGATGTTTCTGTCTCACTTTCCCTCTTCCTTCCTCTCTGAAATAAAAAAAAAAAAAATATATATATATATATATATTTTTTTTTTTTTTAAAAGGATTTCTCCTTTAATTCTTTTTCCCCTTCCTTGAAATATGAACTTTATTTTTCTTCTTTAATTTTTTTTTTTTAATCTTCCCTTGAGGATATTTTTCCATTGATTTTTAGAGAAAGTGGAAGAGAGAGGGAAAGACAGAGCGAGATCGATGTGAGAGAAACACATAAATGGTTTACAAGATGATCTTTAAAAACGGCTCTTCCAACTTCTCAGCCTCTGCACTTTTGGCTTTTAGGGCTGAATATTTCTCTGTTGCCATGAGGCTGTCCTTTATGTTGTAAAAATAACAACACAAATGGTTTACCACCATCCCTGGCCGCCAACACCATCTTGGCCTCTAGATGGCAGTAGTACCACCCCAGTTGTGACAACCCAAAATGTCTCTAGGCTTTGCCAAAATCCCCTTGGGGCTATATGGCCCCAGTTGAGAACGACTGCTCTAGGCCAAGTTTGTTCTTGGCTTCCAAATAGATTCCTAATTTATCGCGCTGCATTATGTAAGGAAGATGAGGGGCTCACACTTGATGACCCAGTGCTCTTTCCTCCTTTAGGATGAGGTAGTGGTAAACGACCGATGGGGTTTTAACTGCTCCTGTCACCATGGAGGATACTACAACTGTGAAGATAAATTTCAGCCGTCAAGCTTGCCAAATCACAAGTGGGAGATGTGCACCTCCATAGACAAGCGGTCCTGGGGCTACCGTCGCACCATGACCATCTCCGAGGTGGCAAGTGAATCGGAAATCATTTCGGTAAGACACCTGTGAGTTAGCTCTTTTCTTTTTTAGAGAAGAAGGGAGAGAGGGATAGAAACATCAATGATGGGAGAGAATCACTTATCAGCTATCTTCTGCACACCCCCTACTGGGGACCGAGCCTACATCTCAGGCCTGTGCCCTGACCAGAAATTGAACTATGACCTCCTGGTTCATAGGTTGACTCTCAACCACTGAGCCACGCCAGCGGGGCATGAGTTAGCTATTTCTTAACTGCCATCTCAAACCACCTTCTAACTGAGGGTGGTGGCAGCACTGTGGATGAACATGCAGGTGGATGGGCCCTTTGGGTTATTGGACATACTCAGAGCAGTCTGTCCTGAGGGAAACATTGTAATTACAGAAGAGAGTTTTATGTATAGACATGTTCTTCCCAGAGTTATCTTCAATTGGACATATGGTTGTTTCAATTTCTTATAACCATAATGGGATAGTTAAGTAGATTTGGGGGTCGTCCATAACCATTAAAATGTTTATTATATGTGGATGCCTGAAATCCAGGATAGCACTGAACCCTGTTTTTCCTATACTATACATACCTATGATAAAGTTTAATTTATAAATTAATCACATTAAGAGACTAACAACAACTATTGATAAAATAGAGCAATACCCTGTAATGAAAGTTATCTCCAAAGAATTTGGTTTCCCAAATATCTGACTGCATTGTACTCTTCTTGTGACGATGTGACATGACTCAATGCTTACTGGATGAGATGGAGTGAGGTGCTCAGAACAGAATGCAGCTTAAACCTTATGAATTGCTTATTTCTGGAGTTTTCCCATTTAATATTTCCAGACTGCAGTTGACCATGCATAACTGAAACCGTGGAACACCAAACAGTGGATAAGGCAGAATTATTGTATCTCTTTATAGCATGTACATTTATATAGCCCATCACGCACATACAGTGTGTCCTGAAATTCTTCAGATCTCTTCAATCTCCCCAAAGTCTCCACAGCACCCCATTAAAACCTCTTCCCTCTGACCCCCATAGTCTCTCTGTCTGGCTCCATGTGATCCCTTCATGGCCATGTGCTTTGTTCTCCACTCCTGCTCGTCCTCTGTGCTTCTGACTCAGGACCCTTCCCACTGCCTGTGGCACCCGGAAGGGCAGCCTCCCAGGGCAGTGCCCATGTTCACTCCTGGAGTTCAAGTTAGTGTATTCTTCCATCTTGCAGCAGGATTTTTCCGTATTCTTAGAGAATCCTGTCTTGTTTTTATAGTGACCAAAATATATAGTATTTTCAAAAGGGTAAAGGACACTCGCAAAGCAGGGAGAGAAGGTGCCCTAGATTCTTTTTCTTCTCTCAGTATCCATGTGTTCTAGGCATTGTGCCAGGCTTGGAATTCATACGTAGGATTTCATTGTTTCCACTCTTTCCAGGAACTGGTCCAGACAGTAAGTTTGGGAGGGAACTATCTTCTCAACATCGGGCCAACTAAAGATGGACTGATTGTTCCCATCTTCCAAGAAAGGCTGCTCGCTGTTGGGAAGTGGCTGAGCATCAATGGGGAGGCTATCTATGCCTCTAAACCGTGGCGCGTACAACTGGAAAAGAACGAATCTGTATGGTGAGTCCTGTCTTCTGTGTGCGTGGGAGCGGGACTGTACCCATCCTCACCTGGCATCTCCTCGGGCTACAAGGTTAGAAGCCGCACTGGACGTTGTCTTAAAACCAACAAGCTGTTCTTTTGCTATTCATTTGTACCCAGTTTATAGCTTAAGCCGCCAGGGTATCTGACTAGTTGGGGTGGGGATAGGTTTAGTGCAAAAAACATTAATCTGTTTACTTGCAACTTTACCTGGTCTAATTAAAAATAGTACTAGCTAAAGTTGTGTAGCAACCACAATGTGTAAGGCTCCATTCTAAATTCCTTCTACCCATTTAATCCCCTCAACAAGCCCACCAGATAGACACTGTTATTCTCTCCGTATTACAAGTGAGAAAGAGGGCCCAGAGCAGTGATATAACTTGCCTAAAATCACAGACCTAGTAAACGCGGAAGTCATGATTCCTGCTTGGAATTGTGATCTAGTTATTTGATCAACTGCAAAATGGGGCGATGGTTCTTCCTAGAGCTACTATGAGGATTAAATGAGATAATATATGTAAAGTTCCCAGCAGAGGCCAGGCATATACGATGTGTTCATAAATCTGCTAGTGTTACCCATAGAGCGGAGGTCCTTGGATCGGGGAAACATGGCTATCCCTGTTGACATGAGCTTCCATTTAGTGATTTTTTTCATCCTCTTCTCTGAATATGACATCTCAGAATTACAAATTTGTCTTCATTGCACATCTTGCCCTTTTTATATCCTTAGGTGTTTTCACTTGGATTTAGAGTTGAAAAAATATTTGAGTGATAAGGCAGAAGGCCTCGGTGTAAAATAAGTGGTATAAGAATTTAAAATTTTTCAAGAAAATTTGTAACCCAATAGAGAGTGAAAATAGAAGATATCACCAGAAAGAGGCTGCTTTCTTCCCGCAGACCTTGGGATTAGTAGGTCATCAGAAGGGGAATATACAAGGTGATGTGTAATAATCTTAGGTGTCAGAGTAACAGGCCAGGTGTCTTTGATAATGATGTTTCTTTTTTCCCCAGGTATACCTCAAAAGAATCATCTGTTTATGCCATTTTCCTGAACTGGCCAGAAAATGGAGTCTTAAGCCTTAAATCCCCTAAAACTACCTCTGCTACAAAGGTAAGGGGCCTAGTTAGTCCTTTCAGAGATGTAGCTTTTTTTTAAAGGAATCGGCAGGTCTTCCTACTTCCTCCTTCCTTCCCCAAGTTTCTCCCGTATTTATTCCCCTTTTAGACCAATGGTCGCCAATTGGTGGTCCGCAGACCATTGGTCCGCAGGTTGGCGACCGCTGTTTTGGACGATCTTCCCTCCCGGGCCCAGCGTGGTTGTTTTCCACCATGTTCAGGCAGTATTCTGTATTCATTAATGCATTAATGTTTTTTCCATTGCCTTTTGCTTTCTTCAGGTAACGATGCTAGGAGTCCAAAAAGATCTGAAGTGGTCCACAAATCCACCTGGAGGTCTCCTCATTTATCTGCCCCAGATACCACCCTCTGCTCTTCCAATTGAGTATGCTTGGACCATAAAGATGATGGGAGTGGACTGATCGTTGGAGTTCAAGAGGAAAGCAGCACTGCCGGCTGCTCAGTTTTGACTTTCTTCTTACATTCCATCATCGAAATAACCTACCCTTCTCTACCCAAAGATGGCTTTTCCTACATATTTTAATCAGAGGAACTGAGTGCACTACCCTGTCAGTGGATCAAAGACCTGAGCCACCTCGCTGGCATCTCTCTCATCAGCAGAAGGAACTAAACCGTTAAAGCTCTCAGTTCATGCTTCCCTAACGTTGGACATTGTCTACAGTGGAATCTTCCCTCCAGTCTCTGTTTGATAACCGGTTTGCTTAATGACTTCAGGTAAAGAATAGGCCAATTCACCTTGTTGGCTATGGGAGAAGGCATAAAGGGTTTGGCAAGCTCAACCACATGCCGTTTATTTAGCACCGACTGCCATCACACCCCCTGAGAGAGCAGGAGAGCCTGGAGCGAAAAAAAAGGCAAGCCGGACCAATGGTTCTCTGGAAGTTTCCAAAGCCAGCCAAGGCTCTGAAATTCAGTCTGTGCGGTGATACTATGAAGAAAATGGATGTGATTCTGCGCTGCTTTTTAAAATACAATCAAATAAATTTTAATGTCAAATGATTTCTACCAAAAAACTCGTTATCGTTTTCTTCCCTCAGTTTCTTTACGGACTTCTTATAGCTTTATGTTTCTGTGTTTTAAAAGGACCAGTCACGCCTCTTTAATGCAGAACAAAAAATGTAATTTCTACCCTAGCTGGTTTGAAATTTATTTTACATTGCAACCTATTTGTCATATGTAATAACAAACAAAAGTTTTGCAAAGCAGTACTTAGTACATATACAATGCACAACTTTTTTTTTTAAGTTGGTATCCACTACGTTGATATTATGACCACGACATGTATGTTGGAGAACACCACTCTAAGCATTCAATGTCTTTGCATATGCTATGCTCTCTGTCTGGAAAGCTTATTTCTTTTTAAAATATATTTTTATTGATTTCAGAGAGGAAAGGGGGGGGGGAGGGAGAAACATCAATGATAAGAGAGAATCCTTGATTGGCTGCCTCCTGCACACCTCATACAGGGGATTGAGCCCACAACCTGGGCATGTGCCCTTGACCGGAATGGAACACTCTATCCACTGAGCCAAACCAGCTAGGGCTGGAAAGCTTTTCTTATCCTTTTTACAGGGGTCGCCTAAGACATCCTGCATATCAGTTATTTACATTACGATTCATAACAGTAGCAAAATTACAGTTATGATGTAGCAAAGAAAATAATTTTATGGTTGGGGGTCACCACAACATGAGGAGCTGTATGAAAGGCTCGAGGCATTAGGAAGGTTGAGAACCCCTGCTCTAGAGTCAACTACCAGCATCTGAAGATAGTGACGAATAAGTTAATACATGTAAAGAACTCAAACAGTGTGTGGCAAATAGCAAAGCTTCATCTTATTGAGAAAGGTAGTAATTATACCAGTATCATATCTATAATAAAAAAAGGGCCACGTACTAAACCTGACACCTCAGGGAGGGAGGAGGTGCATGGCAGGCCTTACAAACTGGTGACTGCAAGTAACCATACAGGATGGTCTGAACATAAAAATTTCTAACGTGGGTCATGGTGGTTGGTCGCATCACAGGCCTATAGCTTACTTGACCAAGGTCAGTTTGTACGTTGAGCCTATATATTTATTGTCTCTTTAGGTCTAGTATTATGTAACTTTGAAATGTCAGTGGCACAACTTCTGGCACCAAAGCACAAGACTACAGAGCAGGAGACCACATACCATCTCTGTGTACCCTGCATGTTAGTCATTAACTATCCTGCACCCACCAATGTAAAGGAAGTGGCTCCGTTTGGCTTTTAATCCAGTCCTAGGAATTTCCTCCTGTTCTGCTTTCTTCTGCCTTCTTTTAGTTAGTTTCATTTTGTTTTTGTTTCTTGTGCCTTCTTAATCTACCACCAATAGATTTCATAGAACCCTCCTTACGGTTCCTTCTTTGATTCTAATGGATAAAGTTAGAAAACTGCCGTTATTCAGAGCATTTACTTAATCCATTGAGATTTTGCTTCCTGGCATGTCCTCAAAATTTGGCTCAAATAAACAATAAGAGTTTTGTATACACTGCCCATTCTTTCATCGACATTATTAATATCTGTCTTGCCACACCTTCCAGACTCTAATAAGCCTATGAAGACAGAAACTTTGGCTAATTTTTGTTCATCTTTACAGTCCTAGGGTCTCACTTCACCTGGCAAAGAAACACCCTGGACGGGTCAGGAAGAGCCGCCGGGAGGAATGAAGGCGGAGGAGCTGGGGGCGGGGCCAGGGGCTGGGGGCGGAGCCAGGGCGGACGTTAGCGTCACCGCCGGACCACGCCCACCTGGAGGTGGGAGGTCACGTGGGCCTCCGACGGGTCAGCTGAGCCATGATGGCGACCATGAGGGGGTCGATGCGGCAGAGGCTGGTGGGCTTGGCGGCCGTCAGGGCTGTAAGTGCCCCGCCCGGGGGCGGGCGGCCACGCTGCCCCGTGACGCTCGGGGCGGGGGTGCGGCTCGTGTCGCTGTTGTGAGAAGTGAGGCCGGAGAGCCCCGCAGGCCGGTCAGGTGGACCTTGAAGTTTGAAGAGCCTCTGTGTACCCCCCATCCCTGGCGGGTCCTGAGGGAAACTGAGGCCCAGAGCGGGGCGACTTGGCTGGTGTCCTAATTCCCTATTCAGGGCTCTTCCCTGGGACCCTTGTACCTTTCTCCCCGTAATTGCTCTGCGGACTCTCCAGCTCTTCTCAGTGAAGAGTCACCAGTAGCCCTCCGCTTCCGCTTCCGCTTCCGCTTCCGTTTCCGGGCGGGAGAAGCAAGGTGGTCCCGCCTGCGCCCAGGGACTCACCTGTTGGGCAGTGGGGGGCAGTGAGGCATGTCCGGACCGCAGGAAGTTGGGGGTGGACCTGCACGGGGAGCCGTGCTCTTGGTTATTCCTGTGTCTAAGTGAAATATTCCTTCTGCTCTTAATTCTAGAACAGACCAAAGGTGAGTTAAATGGTGAGAAATGTTGCTTCTAGTCCCAGTATTTGCAAAGGTGGATCTATTCCTTCAGATTTGCCCCACTGGGGGATTTTCCCCCCACACTTCATGTGTTTATTTGGTTTCATTATGCAACATCCACAGTCACACAGGGAGAAAGGAATGAAGAGGAGTGTAAGTTAGGGGTTTACATCTGTTCCAATATTACAATAACTAGAGGCCTGATGCACAAAATTCAAAATTCGTGCAAAAGTAAGCCTTCCTTCCCCCTGCTGCCTCTGGAAGCCAGACAGTGCTTTCCTTGCAGCCCCGGATTAGTCCGGAAGGCCAAGGCCAGCTGGCCTAATTAGCATATTACGCTTTTATTATTATAGATGAGTTCCAAGCCCTGAAAGGGTGGCTCAGTTGGTTAGAGGCATCTAGGTGAGTCCTAGCACATTCAGGAACTAACCAATGCATAATGAGTTGGAGCAACAAGTCGATGTCTTTCTGTCTCTTTCTAAAAGCCAGTTAAAATATTTTTAAATACATTTTATTGATTTTTTTCACATAGAGGAAGGGAGAGGGATAGAAAGTTAGAAAAATTGATCAGCTGCCTCCTGCACAGCCCCCTCTGGGGATGTGCCCACAACCAACGTACATGCCCTTGACAGGAATCGAACCAGGGACCCTTCAGTCCACAGGTTGACATTATCCACTGAGCCAAACTGGTTTCAGCTAAAATATTTTTTAATAAATAAATAATGAGTTTCCCCTGCCGGAAACCAATCATTGTCTCATTAATAGAAAGAGGCTGGTCAGCCTTTGAAGCTCTGAATGGTCAGAGCTAACCACACCCTATCTAAATGAGACAACAGTAACTGAGGCATCTTCCCCATCTTGTAATCCTGTAAATCCTTACTGATAGAATAATCCGCTTATTACCTGCCTAAGGGCTATGGGTGTTTCCCAAAGCTGCTTAAGGGTACTGGGTGTATCCCATAGCAGCCTCAATAAAAGGGATACAAGGCCAGAGCCTAGAGAGTCTTCCCACTAGAGGTTGACTCCCTCCTGGCCCCCCATTTGTCCCAAATTAACTCTCTTCTAGTCTCTCTCTTCATTTTAGTGTGTGGCCTCCTCCAGAAACCGGACCCTGAGTGGGCCCTGAATCACGAGGGTTCCCACATCCCCCCCAAAAAAAATGTACCCAAAAAAGTATGGTAAAACACCATTCTAATATATTGCACAGCAAGCCCCATAAGTCCCCGTGGGAAAAATCAAAGTGCTTTCATTCCTTCCCAACTGCAGGAGTGGTCACATCACCTCTTCCTCGTGTGTGTGTGTGTGTGTGTGTGTGTGTGTGTGTGTATACACCCCCTGGGGAATTGTGACAATCTGTTCCTATTTTACTTTTATTTATTCTTTTAAACCAAAGGTCAGCACCTCATCTCTGAGTACGTTCCCAAAGCGGGTGAAAATTGTGGAAGTTGGTCCCCGAGATGGACTACAGAATGAAAAGGTAAAGTGGGAAATCAACCGCAAAAGTTGTTTTTGAGCGTCGAGAGTTTGTGTGGCAGGGTAGGTGCAGAAAGGATGGACTGACAGAGCTCTCCATGAAAGACATGATCACTCTGCCCGCCCTAGGGCTTGGTGGGGAGAACAGGCAGGCTCTTGTGACTGCTAAACAGTCTCTGATGGTGCAACAGGTATGATAGGCCCAGGTCCATTTCAAGGCCCAGGGGGGTGGGGTGGATGATGAGTGCTGAGGTGGAGATATGGTGTGAAAGTGAGGGAATGTCTTAGATCCAGCAATTCCATGTCGGAGGATTTATCCAGAGGAAGTCAGGAAGGCCACATGCAAAGATTTAACTTTGGGGATGTTCCCCACCACTTGAAGAAAATTGGAGTAGTGCTGTCCAGTAGACTTTCCTGTAGATAGAAATGTTCCAGACTTGAGCTCTCTCATGTGGTAGCCACTAGACAAACACATGTGGCTATTGAGCATTGAAATGTGACTAGCATGAATTTTTATTTTCATGTCATTTAAATTTAAATTTATAAAACCATGTATGGCTGGTATGTAGAAAGTTACATATCTAGGAGCTGTTTAGAGTGGTTTTCTTTTTTTTTTTTTTTTGGCATGTGTTTTTGAAACGTGTATTAACTATTTTTGCATTAAGAAAGCTTTTTTTTTTTTTTTTTAAGTATGGCCAGCCTAATTTTAATGTTGAGCACATGCTAGAAACAAAAACTATAAGTCCCATGAGGGCAGAATCATGTCTGTCTGCTCATTGCAGCACCGCCTAGCACCTAGCATAATCCCTGGAATATGAAGCAAAATTATCTGTGGAATAGATTACATGAAAGCAGTGCAAAAGAAATCGTGGCGGAGGATAAGGAGGGACTTGAAATCCTTGGGATTTTTTACCTGGTCCTGTAGGTACTAGGGAGCCACGGAAGGCTTTTCAGTGGTAGAGTGAGACAGTGGAAAGTGTTCTAGGATGAACTGTGGGGTGAACTGGTGGAGTGAGACCAGATACATGGGGTAACGGGACAATGGTATTAGATTTGGAAAGAAGGATCTATAGAAGCTGCTTAGCAACTAGACATGGTGGAGAGAGAGAAACAGTAGGCTGACCGTGTGAGGATGAGATCCTGTGCCACTTGGGAGATGGAAAAAGAGGATGTAGTACTTTGGGGGCCCCGTCTCCTAAGAACCAGAAGGTTAGTCATCTCTGCCCTTTCCGGCCAGGGTTCATTGCTCTCAGTTTGTTTATGATGGGGCAATAAATTAACAAACTTTTAGTTAAGAAAAAGCCTGTATGGCAGAAAAATATGGTTTCCAGGTAAGTATTAACTCCCTTTCGGATGATAAGCTGCCTCCACTGCAGAATGCCATCTGTAGAATTTGAAGACGCCCTGTACCCTATCTATTGGTGAGGATTCCATTGAATTCATATTAGTATTTACAAGTTGAGATAGGCAAGTGTTTGCTGTAGCAGAAACTTTGAACTAACAGGCACTGCTTGCTGAGGCCCTTTGCTTCCCATCTCCGCTGAGCTGTCTCTTCTGGTGTTTGTCTTCCCGTTACAGAATATCGTCCCTACTCCAGTGAAAATCAGGATGATAGACATGCTTTCTGAAGCGGGACTCCCCGTGATAGAAGCCACCAGCTTTGTGTCCCCCAAGTGGGTTCCTCAGGTGAGCCCGCCTCAGTGAAAGGTGTCCAGACGTGAAGGATGGAAAGGTTTGCATTTGCCCTGGAAGAGGATGTGTAAGTCAGGAACATAGGTTTCCTGATCTCTGGCTTTCAGGGGTCTGTAACCTGGGAGGCAGGAGGCTTGGATTCAGTCTAGACTCTGCCCCCGAAATGCTTGGTGACCTTGCTAAGGCCTACAGGTTGACGGTGACCTCGTCTGGCCTAGACATCTAGAATTCCTAGGCCTGGCCTGTGGATTCTGCCTGCTTCACGTAGACATCAGTGGGGAAGAAAGATTCTGTCCTGGCTGCGTGTGATAAGACAGAGGAGCTGAGCCCAGCGCCCAGCTTGGAGTGTGTTCTCAGTAGTGCCTGGCAGTGTTGTTACTGCGGTCACAGCTGTGTAAAGCTGACTGTACTGGTCACATGGAGGCATTGGGGCTATTGCCCACAGCCCGGGGCCTCCTGGCCCATCAGCAGTCACACAAACAATAAAAGCCGTGGGGAGACTCAGCTCTGGAAGGACTCATTCTCTAAGGGCCTGGAGAACACAGATCTTGTGATAAAACGGTTTTGTGTACCTGAGCTCTCTGCCTGCCCGTGGTGATGACTCTGCCATGTCTCCTTTGGTTCCAGATGGCTGACCACATCGAAGTCTTGAAGGGCATCCAGAAGTTTCCTGGCATCAACTACCCCGTCCTGACCCCAAATTTCAAAGGCTATCAGGCAGCGGTAAGCTTGTTGGTGGGGGCCTTGAAATGAGATTGATGGTGCTGGTCCCGCCTTGTCCCTGGGCCTGAGCCCTGTCCTGGGCCATCTGTCTGAGGGCTGTCTCCACTGGGGATGAGCACAGTCAGGCAGACCGATGCAGTCCTGGCCTGGCCACTCCCAGTCTCTGGTATTGACAGGCCTCAGGTTCCGCCTACAAAATAGGCTTCATGATAGGGTAACATTGTGAAGATAAGTGCTTAATCAATGGGTTTTGTTGTTCTTACCCAATTTCTCTTTTGAGAAAGGTAAGCAAGCACTCTACAGAGCTTCAACATTAGTTGCTAGAATCTTTTTTTTTTACTCCTTTTTCATTTATTTTTTTAAATTCATTTCTTTAGTGATTAAGGTATCACATATATATCCTCCCCCCCTTATTGTCCTTGACCACTGGGTTAGGCTCATATATGTTCACATAAGTCCTTTTTGATCTCTCCCTTTTATCCCCATCCTCCCTTTGAGGTCCAACAGTCTGACCCATGGCTCCTTATCTCTGGGTCTGTTCTTGTTCATCAGTCTATGTTGTTCACCATTTTCCCTAGATGAGTGAGATCAAGTCCAACTGGAAATATAAGAATCAAAAATGAGACAAGCAATAATCGTTATGCTGAAAGGCATATGCATCAGTCTGTAGGGAGCTTCTTTCTGGGCCACCAGTTCTTTTGAGACCCATAGTTGCTAGAATCTTTCTTATAGCTTTAGATGAGAACATCATTGGAGATACTGATTCCAAGTTGACTGACTTCCAGAATGGTGATGGCAGGGGCAGTGTTGGTCTCTGAGGGAAGATCAAGGTTTCCTTAGTATCACAATAAGGCCTCTAGTGCACGAAATTCATGCACTTGGTTGGGGGAAGGACCCATGGATGCACGATTGGGGTCAAGGAGCAATGTGGGAGGCTGGCCAGCTGGAGAGCGACCACAGGAGGGCTCCAGGGCATGTCTAGCCCTTTTTGCTCATTCAGACCCCAGCAGCAAATTAACCTACCAGTCAGAGCATCTGCCCCCCTGGTGGTCAGTGCACATCATAGCGATGAGTCGCCTTAGCATATTATTAGCATATTACGCTTTGATAGTAGTTGAATGGATGATTGGACATTTAGCATATTAGGCTTTTATTATATAGGATAATTCACTGTATTAATTCTCCAGGCTTGCCATAACAAAATACCAAAATCTAGGTGGCTGAAAACCACAAAAATGTATCCTTTTGCAGTTCTGGAGGCTAGAAGTCTGAAATCAAGATGTCAGGGTTGGTTTCTTCTGAGGGCTCTGGGGTGAATCTGTCCCATGCTCTCTTCTAGTTTCTGGTGACCGCCAGCAATCGTTGACATCCTTGGCTTGTAGATACATCGCTCCAATCTCTGCCTCCACCTTCACTGGCCTTCCCCTCCTGTCTCTCTGTCTTCACATGGCCCCTGTCTTATAAGGACACCAGTCATTAGAGAGGAACCAATATGCCTCATCTTAATAAATTATTTCTGCAATTACCCTGTTTCCAAATAAGAACACATGTTGAGGTGCTGAGGTTTAGCATTTCAATATATCTTTCTTGGGGAGACAAAATTCTATCCATCAGATTCATATATTATCCAATTCACAGGGGTTTTGTCACTCTGGGTTCCTTGAAGAGGAAAATGCTCACAGGTATTCCCCTGGCTGTTGGCAGGTGGCTGCTGGAGCCAAGGAAGTGAGCATCTTTGGAGCTGCCTCCGAGCTTTTCACCAAGAAGAACATCAACTGCTCCATAGATGAAAGTTTGCAGCGGTTTGACCAGGTCTTGAAGGCAGCGCAGACAGCTGGCATCCCTGTGCGGGGGTGAGTCAGACCACAACGGTGCGGCCTGTCCTTCCTCAGGGCCATGCTGGCCAGTACCAGCCTCTGACCTCCCCCACACCAACTCCTCCTGTGGGCAGACAGCCCACGCTCCACACCCTGATATCCTTCCCCAAGCAGACGTGGTCAGAAGAAATCCTAGCGAGCCCTTTCTCCAAACCTGGTCTGTGGGTCAGTTCACCAGAGGAAACTAGTAGGTCAGGACACTAGACACGTTTTGTGGAGGTCAGTTTTCTCCTGGCTACACCGCCAACTCTTCCCACATTTCCGAAGAATCCCCTATGCCTCCTAAGTCTCCAAGACACATCTTCAACAGCAGCAGTGCCAGGAATCGTCACACATAACTTCACAACTGGCCAGCGAGGAGGGGACTGGCCCCACTTACAGGTGACGAGACAGGCTCAGAAGGATGGAGAGTCTGCTGGGAGGTCACACAGCTGTCCACATCGCAGCCAGGATGCTTTCAGAAGTGTATGTCTGGCCCTGGCTGGACAGGTCCTCGGGTGGCTGGAGCATGGTCCCATGCGCTGGGTTCGATTGCCAGTTGGGTGAATATGGGAGGCAGCTGATCAGTGTTTCTCACATCTCCACCCCTCTTTTCCCCCTTTCCCCCCCTCTCTCTAAAAAGCAACAAAAATACATCCTCAGCCGAAACCAGTTTGGCTCAATGGATAGAGCGTCGGCTTGGGGACTGAAAGGTCCCGGGATCGATTCCGGTCAAGGGCATGTACCTTGGTTATAGGCACATCCCCAGTGGGAGATGTGCAAGAGGCAGCTGATCGATGATTCTCTCTCATCGATGTTTCTAGTTCTCTATCCCTCTCTTTCTTCCTCTCTGTAAAAAATTAAGAAAATATAATTTTAAAAAATACGTCCTCAATTTAAAAAAGAATAATGCACATCTGACCACATCACTTCCTGGGAAGACAGCTTACAGTGACTCCCAACTCCAGACTTCTCCACTCTGCTCACAAGACCCTGTGTGAGTGAGTCAGCTGCTGCTCTCCGTGCAGTCTCCTTGTTCACGGCCCCGTCCAGCCCAGCTGGAACTTCTCTCCGTTTGTCACCTACTCCTTGCCTCTGGGCCTTTACACACACTTTCCATAGGCCCAGCACTCCCTTCTTCCTGTATCCTAATTGTCAGGACTAACTCCTGTCTGCGCTTTGGGTCCCCTCATGGATGCCAGTTTCTCCAAGAAGCTTTCTCTGTCCCCCGGCTGGCGTTAGTGCTCCTCCTCTGGGCCCCCGTAGTCCCTCACATCCTCTAACATAGCACCTGGCCACTTGCTAAATCGCCTCCTGCCTTCCACCCCACTAGACTGAACTCACATTTCTGTCCATCCAGGTGTGCCCCCTCTCCCAGCTCAAGGCCCAGCACATAGTAGGTGCTCAGGAACCAATGGGCAGATGGATGGATGGGGAAGTAAGGGCTTGTCAGATCTGCCTGCACCCAAGCCTGTTCTCTTTTCTCAGTATCTCTCTTAACTTGCCCCCCTGCTCAGCAACTATTGGAAAATAAGGGGAAGAATTTAAATGGAAAAATATACTGAGCCCTGGCCAAGCGGCTCAGTTGGTTGAAGTGTTGTCCCATACATCGAAAGATTGTGGGTTCGATTCCAGTCAGGCCACATACCCAGGTTGTGAGTTCAATCCCAGACCAGATGTGTAGGGGAGGCAACTGATCAATGTTTCTTTTTCACATCAATGTTTTTTTCTCTCTCTTCCCCAAAATCAGTAAAAAAAATATATATATATATATATATATATCTCCATCCTCTGGTGAGAATTTTAAAAAACAGAAAAGAAAAATATACTGAGATCTTTGAGGCTGAAGTTATTTAACCAGGAAATACTTGTTATGCCTCTGAACATGCAGCATAGTTTTCTAGACTCTAAGAGGTTTTAGTGGAGCCCCAGGCCCAGTGGTGTGGGCGGGAACGGGAGCCGCCTCCATTCAAGACCCAAACTTCTGACCGAAGTTCACAGGACCCAGCTCTCCATTACTACTTCTTTGCCTCTTGCTCTCCGTGCCTCAGCTGTTCCTTCCTTTGTTCTGTGCCTTTTTTTTTTTTAAGAGGAAAATCTTTTTTTTTTTATAATATATTTTATTGATTTTTTTACAGAGAGGAAGAGAGAGGGAAAGATAGAAACATCGATGAGAGAGAATCATCGATCAGCTGTCTCTTGCACACCCCCTACTGGGGATGTGCCCGTAACCAAGGTACATGCCCTTGACCGGAATCAAATCCGGGACCTTTCAGTCCTCAGGCCGACGCTCTATCCATTGAGCCAAACCGGTTTCGGCTATTCTGTGTCTTGAACACCCTGCTCTGCCGGGAATGTGGCCGTCCCCGTCTCCTAGCTCAGCATCCTGTCTTCACAGAGGTCTTCCCATGTCACCCACTGTTGATATGTTTGTTCCTGGCGCATTCCCTGTTCTTTCCTTCCTGGCGCATCACTTTCTGAGATTATCTCATTGATTCCTTTGATTGTCCTTTAATCAGCTCTCTCCCGGATTTGAAATAAGCACTGTGAGGGTGGGGTCCTTGTCCGTCTTGCTCACTGAGCTACCCTCGTGCCTGGTCCATAGTGGGCACGTCGGTAAATATCAGTTGAATAAATGAGTGAATGAATTGTCTGGCAGCTCACAAGAGCAGCCAGCCCAGCTCTTATTCCTGCCTTTGGTTTCATGGGTCCCTGGTCCCTTCCTGTGCGGATGGGCCTCAGCTACTCTGGCCCATGCTCTGCTTTACCCACCTCCCTACGGCCCAGGTGCCTGCTCTTAGTGCCCTCTCCAGCTCCTCCTCCCTGCTGGTCTCAGGCTGCCTCTCCAGAACCTATGCCACCCCTGCTTCCTGAACCACAGGCCTGTTAGTCCCTCCCTTCCCTGCGGTGGCTCTCCACTTCCCCCTCCCGGCACTAAGCAGCATGACCTTCGTTCTGGCTCCCATCTTGGATTAGCCTTTCCAGGCACTTGGCCTCCTGCCCAGGTTCGGGTTTTGATTTCGGGCTAACCGGGAATGTGTGTCAGACAGCCCCTGCCTCGGCCCTGCTGACCAAAGAACCAGGGGCATTGACACCATCCCCCTGTCTTCCCACAGGTACGTCTCCTGTGTGCTTGGATGTCCCTATGAAGGGAAGATCTCCCCAGCCAAAGTAGCTGAGGTGTGTGTGAGGGTCAGGGTGGGGTGGGGGATTGGCCTCCTTGCCCGCCCCTGAGTGCGTAGATTCCTCTCGCCACCCTTTCCTGATGGGTCACTGACTTCCTTGTTAACACCCTGCCCTCCCCACGGAGTAAATGCCTCCAATTGAGTTTCCAGTCTGGTTAGTGGACAGGCGATTATTGAGGTGATAATCCTTTTTGGAGAGGTTCCTGCTCTGGCACTCCCCCCGCCCCCCGCCCCGGCCAGGGTCCTTCCAGTGTCTTGTCTTGGTCAGAGAGGCCACTTCACATCCTCTGAGCAGCAACCAAGTCAGCCCTGAGGACACAGTGTGGAAACTGAGTTTGGGTGTGAGCGACACAGAGCTCATGGTAATATTTAGTCCTCAGACCCACCCTGCAAATGAGCTGTAACTATTGGGACTGACTAACTTGCCATGCAGACTGCCTGTGGTGCCACCAGGTCTCCACCCCCATCTCCACCCCTGCTTGCTCTTCCCCAAAACCATGTGGCACCCAAAAACGCGGACTGGTAGCAGTGGCACCTGGGATTGAGAGTGCCTGCTGTGCTCATGGCTCAGCCTCCTGTTGTCACCAAGCCCTTCACAGCAGAAATTGAAGCTCAGGAAGTTAAGCCCTGGCCAAGATCCCACAGCTCGTGAGCAGCAGAACGGGGACTTTAAGCCAGCGTCTCTCCCTCCAGAGCCGCTCCTTCCGCTGTCCCTCTGCCCACGGGCTGCGGGCTGCCGTCACTCCTCACCACTTCCTTTACGCCGTGGACCATTGCCGAGTGCGGGCCCCGCCACATCCTTCCTCCACCTTCTCAGCAGCGCGGTGCAGGGAAGCAGCTCCTTGGGCCGGCCTTGGGCCGGCTCTGGTGTGCAGTGATTTGGGGCTTTGTAAACGGGCTTCTGAACATTTACATAGTTATGTACTTCTGTTAAAACACAAAGCTGGCACCGCTGACCCGTGATTTCACCGATCTTCCACCAAGGATAGGACTACAAGGCAGGGGTCAGTTTACTGATTCCAGTGGTGGGTCTGCCACAGTGAGTGAAGGGGGTAAAGGAAGGACTGGAGTTTGAGACCCGGGTGGGGGAAAGCACAGGGGTCGGAGCCCAGAGCCTGCCCCCGACATCCCGGTGTCCTGACAAGAAGAATGAGGAATATCCTTCCACTCAAAGTGGTAAGGAGCCTGTGACCCGTTTGGTTGGTTTAGTGCTCAGACAGGAGATGCTCTGGACAGGCCAAGGACCCCTGTTTCGGAGCCTGGGACCCTGGGCTTGGGGAATCTGATGTCCTCCATCTGCCTGTTTGTCTTCCCAGGTCAGCAAGAAGATGTACTCAATGGGCTGCTATGAGATCTCCTTGGGGGACACCATCGGCGTGGGCACCCCTGGCATCATGAAGGACATGCTGTCCGCCGTCATGCAGGAGGTGCCCGTGGCCGCCCTGGCTGTCCATTGTCATGATACCTATGGCCAGGCCCTGGCCAACACCCTGATGGCCCTGCAGGTAATCCAGGCATGTCCCAGGAGAAAGGCATGTGTCCCTTCTCAAAGGAAGGACAGCTGTGTTCCACCTGTGCTTTCAGCAAGCCTACCTGCCTGACAGGCCCTGGGCTCATCATGATGGACACAGACATGTGACCCTGAGCCAGAAGTTCTTAGTCTGTGTGTGAGGGGGACAGAGGGAGAGTTGGGGGATAATCCTAATGCGTTATGACAAATGCTCAAAGGAAGCACAGGCTGAGGAAGGTCCCTGCCCCAGCTGGGAGGTCAGAGAGGATTTGCCGGAAGAGGCCTAAGTGAGGCTTGAAGGACCAGCAGCTGAACAGGGGAGCAGAGGTGGCTTGGCAGCACTGCCTTGTAAGACTGAGGGAGGGTCCGGGGAGGACTGCCGTGCCCGGTCCTGGATGGCATGTGGGTTTGAGTGTGCCATCCTCTGTGGGAGCAGCAGGCGAGGAGCCAGGCAGTGGACAGGTAGGCCGAGGTCAGAGGGAGAGGCTTAAGGCTGCTTTCCCGAGATCGGACCGAAACTTCAGATTGGGTTTCCCGTGAGGCTTGCTTCTTGTGAGCTGGTCCTGTGTGAGGAGCCCACGGCCTGGCCGCCCATTAGAAGGAACGTTCTCGGTGTCTGACCACCAATAGCATTCATCTCACTCCACCCTGTTGTCTTTGGGAGAGGCTCATGTCAGGTGATTCTACTACTTCCGGGGTCTGTTTTCTCAGGGTGGTGGTTAAGGTCTGTTAGAAGCCTCAGGAGCAGAAAGGGAACAGCCGTCACAGGGAGCAGGACATGACTGACCTGGGGAATGGCTGGGCCCTGGGGCAGGAGAGCAGCCTGGGAGGGAGGGTGCATCAGTGAATCACAGTGAACCACGGGGATCCGAAATCCCTTCAGCGGGAGGCGGAGACTGAGGTCCGTGATCAGGAAGGGCCTCTCTGAGGAAGTGACTTGCAGGCTGAGACCTTAAGGGTAAGACGGAACCTTGAAACCATTGAAGGAACTGAGTGGGGATGTTCCTGGCAGAGGAAACAGTGTACACCAAAAAGACTCACCGGCCCGGAGCCAGAGAGAGAAACACGCCCTTCCAGTGGGATTTCCCCCTCATCAGAATCATAAGCCGAAGGGACGAAGAAGCTTGCGATGGAAGTGCAGGCAGCAGCGGTTGGGAGGTTTATAAGGATCAGCTTTGTCGGCGTTGGCCCCCATGGTGACAGCCCTGTGCCACCACCCTCTTGTTTCCAGATGGGAGTGAGTGTCGTGGACTCCTCTGTGGCCGGACTGGGAGGCTGTCCCTATGCACAGGGGGCATCGGGGAACTTGGCCACCGAGGACCTGGTCTACATGCTGGAGGGCTTGGGCATTCACACGGTAAGCTCGTCTCCCCTGTGGCCACAGCCCTGACCAACCAGAGGACAGAAGCTGATGGGCGTGTTTAGTTATGGTTTTTGGGGGGCCAGTGGAGGGAAGGAGAGCAGTTAAGAAGGAAAGGGAGCCGGCACCGGTTTGGCTCAGTGGTAGAGCGTCGGTCTGCGGACTGAAAGGTCCCGGGTTCGATTCCAGTCAAGGGCATGTACCTTGGTTGCGGGCACATCCCCAGTGGGGGGTGTGCAAGAGGCAGCTGGTCGATGATTCTCTCTCATCGACGTTTCTGGCTCTCTATCCCTCTCTCTTCTTCTCTGTGAAAAATCAATAAAAATATATTAAAAAAAAAAAAAAAAAAAAAAGAAGGGAAGGGAGCCAGGGGACTATTGTGTACTTTTGAGATAGCAGAGTGTGGGTGATCCAGGCCCAGAGAAGGCCAGGCTCTCAGTGTCAGTTTGATAGTTCAGTTTAAGAGGCACCGGTGTAAGGAAAGAGCCCCCAAAGGGGTCAGGTGTGTGACCTGAACTGAGTCAGTGTCTCTAGACCTTTGTTTTGTTCTCTGTAGAATTAGCCAGCTTCCCCCTCCTCCCCGCCCCCAGGGCTCTGCCAGGGTCAGTGAGGGCAGCCAGTGTGGGTTGGACGCTCAGCAGCCACGCTTTGGGGTCAGACAGACCCGGGTTTAAAACCTTGTCCTGCCACTCACAGGCTGTGTGACCTGACACATTACTTCACCTCTCCGGGCCTAAGAAATGGGCATGATAATAGCACCTATCCTGAAGGGCCGTTAGGAAGATTAAGAAAACCAGGAATGCTTAGCCCAGAACTGAGCACACAGTACACATGAGTAGATAGGAGCTATTGCCATGAACAGGTTTTCTGGAGTGGCTGCTTCAGGAGGTGTTTTTACTCTCTCTGTCTCAGTTCATTGCTTCGATATGTACTTTTTGACCACTGTGGGCCAGGTCCTGTGCGAGGCCCTGCAGATGGATACTGACGACAGAGATTCCTTTTCTGGTGGTGGCAGGACAGATTGAGGCATCCTCCACCAGGGGAGTCAGAGGGGGCCGAGGCCAGGACATGACCTCAGGCAGCTAGCTGGTGTCCATCTTCAGCGGGACAAGAGCCTGTCTGTCTGCACCTTCACTTTTTCATTAAAAACATTTTTTTAGGGAGGGAGGGAGGGAAGGAGGGAGGGAGAGAGGGAGAGAGAGAGAGAGAGAGAGAGAGAGAGAGAGAGAGAGAGACAGACACCAATGTGAGAAACATTGATTGGTTGGCCTCCCACACGCACCCCAACCAGGGATGGAACCTGCAACCTGGGTATGCACCCTGACCAGGAATGAAACCCACCACCTTTTGATGAAAAGATGCTCCATCCAACCAAGACACACTGGCCAGGGCCACCTTTACTTTTTTTTTTTCTTTTTTTTTCTTTTTTTAAATATATTTTTATTGATTTTTTTACATAGAGGAAGGGGAGGGATAGAGAGTTAGAAACATCAATGAAAGAGAAACATCAATCAGCTGCCTCCTGCACACCCCCTACTGGGGATGTGCCCACAACCAAGGTACATGCCCTTGACCGGAATCAAATCTGGGACCCTTCAGTCCTCAGGTCAATGCTCTATCCACTGAGCCACACTGGCCAAGGCCACCTTTACTTTTTTTATTTATTTATAAATATATTTTATTGATTTTTTACAGAGAGGAAGGGAGAGAGATAGAGAGCTAGAAACGTCGATGAGAGAGAAATATAGACCAGCTGCCTCTTGCACACCCCCTACTGGGGATGTGCCCGCAACCAATGTACATGCCCTTGACCGGAATCGAACCTGGGACCTTTCAGTCCGCAGACCGACGCTCTACCACTGAGCCAAACCGGTTTTGGCCACCTTTACTTTTTTAGTGTCACAGTGGTCTGTCCAATCTGATGTTTCCCTGGGTGCTGAGGGCATGTCATGACTTACTGCACCTTCCAACTTGTTTCTCAAAGGGTGTGAACTTCCAAAAGCTCCTGGAAGCTGGGAACTTTATCTGTCAAGCCCTTAACCGAAAAACCAGCTCCAAGGTGGCTCAGGCCACTTGTAAGCTGTGAGCCCCTTGCCCACCGGAAGCTCTAGGCACGTCTGATGGCTCACTGAGGGACACACGGAAATGGGGATGACGTGATCGGGAACAGGCACCTCGCCACCAGGACACCTAAGGATGACTGAGAGGCTTTGGGGGCCAGAGGCCTCCCTTCACCATGGACCCAGGAGTTGAGGGCACTTGGGAACTCAATTCCCTGGCTTGGGTTGATCCTCACATCTTACCTCTGGGTGACATCTTTGGCAGAACCCTGCTGTGGCCTTGGTGCCATTGCTCTGACTTTGTAGGGCAAAAGGCATGGACTGTTTTCCCTGAGCCGGCAGAGGGCATTTGCTGGAGGGCTGAGGGCTAAGCTGCTGCATTGGCCACCTGCCAACTTAGCACCTCTGAAAAAATCACTCTGAATATGATTTTTGAAAACAGCTATGTAATTAAAGGTTTAATGACATGGAACCATTCCAGTACTCCGCAGATGTGTGTATATATGAGAGCAGAGAAACAAAACATCTTTATTCGCACTCGGAGAGGAAAATGCAGGCTAATCTTTGGATTTTTCTCCGTTTCTCCACCTGAGCCTCAGAAGCAGCGACTGGAAATCGGTGGTTTGGGCTTGCCCTTGGCTCGGACCAGAGCTATCGCACAAGCTCCCCAGGCAGCGTGGCCAGATGCTCCTCGGTGTCTGGACTGGAGCAGGTCTGGGTACCTTAGTTCCTTGTACTCAGGCTCTGCTGCCAGCCGTCCTTGGCAAGCCCAGAGCGCTCCAGGTTTTGGGACACACGTGTGCATTTATTTCTTTGCTCGGATTTCATCACGCAGTATGTCATGCCTTTATACACCTCATTCCCGAGCCCTACCTTTATCTTAAACAGAAACAACCACTTTTAACCCGCTGTGGGAGGCAGGTGCAGACGAGCCGTCCCCGGCAGCTGGGGGGCTACAGTTTGTGTGAAGGCTGAACTAGCGGCAGAGGTCCCTCCAGGTGAGTGGGTTTTCCAACTAGATTCCCAGCACCTGAGCCTCTGGGCCACGGCACCATCTCCTTCTCCCTTCGTTCCACGCAGCTGTCTTCACACGAATGAATGAATGAATGGCAGGTAAAAAGGGTCGGAGCACCTGCCGGGAGCCAGGAGGCGGCTGGTCGGCCCCGCTCTGGCCTGTGGCTCCCGCCGCGGTTCATCCGCCGGGCGCCCCCGACAAGCCTCCTCTCCCGCGCGCTGCCCTCGCCGCTGCCAGCCCCTCCACCAGCCGCTCCCGCGCGGTCCCGACAGCCCACTGCCGGCCTCGGCGGGAGCGCGCGCAGGCGCCTTGTGCCGCGGCTCCTTGGTCCTACCCGCGCCCCGTAGTTCGGTTCCGATTGACACGTTCGCTGGGGAGTGGAGGGGGCGGGGCTAGGTGTGCCGTTGGCCCTTAAAGGGGCCGAGGCGCGGGAGGCGGCACCGCTGGAGGCAGCGTGGGACGCGCGGTCCAAGGCAGGTTTGGGAGGCGAGTGTGGGTCCGGGTGGGCGGGCTCGCGAGGGGCCGGTGGTCCGCGGGGAGCGAGGGAGAGTTCCGGGGCCCGGGCTGTACCGCCAGGGCTCGCCCCGTGGCGCCCCGCCCCCGCTGCCGCGGCTGGGTGGCCAGGGGTCATTCATTCCCAGCCTGGGGACTCCTGGCCGGGACCCCAATTCCTGCCGGAGACCCAGCGCCCCCTCCCATCCCTGATGCAGACCGGGGAAACCAAGGACGCGGTAGCCGAGTTGGGTCTCCTCACCGGCCGGTACGGGTTGACCGCTTCACCCACCTTCCTGCCTGCCTCCCAGGGCACCCTCCGCGACCCCTTCCCGGGGATCCGCACCGAGCACGGACCTCGGTGGAGTGGGGGTGGGGAGGATTCGGCATCCGGGGCAGAGTCCAGCGGGAGGCAGTGGGGTAAAAGGCCAAATGCTTGGGAGCTGGAGATCTAGATTCTAGCTCAGCTACCACCAACTGTGTCACCGCAGGCAAATTACTTCACCTCCCTGACTTCACTATCCCTGTCTGTAAAGTGCCAGTGAGAACATCTGCCTCATCAGGACGCTGGGAGAATTCAGGGAAATAATGCAAAAGTGTGCTAGGTACAGCGAGGTCGCTCAGCCAAGCTGGGCAGGGCTGGATGAGCCCAGGAGGCATTGGTGGCAGCTGGCCGGAGGCGGCGGCTGCGGGCCAGGCCTCCCCAATGAAAGGACTCAGTGTCTGGAGCTTCCTTCTCCCTCCATCCGCTCTGTGCCGAGTTTGTTCAGGGCGGGGTGCACACCTTGCAGTCGAGTGGATGCCAAGGCCACGTCTACACCGGCCAGCTCAGTGAGGACTAGAGTTGGGCGGGATCCTTAGTTCCAAACCCCAGTGATCTGGCTGGCCCCGGCTGGCCTGGGGTGGGGTGGGGCCAATGCCAGGACAGCAGTGCTGCAGCCCGAGCTGGGTTCAGCCTGCCTGGCAGAGGACCCCACCCTGAAACCACCTGGTAATTTCCTGCTCCCTCCCAGCTGACCCCTGAGGGATTGAGTCAGAGGGGCTGTGTACAGGGAGGCCCAGGAGCCAGATTACACATAAGTGATCTCCAAGGCCTAAGGCCAGAACATGATGGTACCAGACTTGGACCAGGCTGACACCAGAGCCACCCTGTTAACGAGGACGCACTGCTGCCTCCCTCCGAGGCCAGACTCCATTTGAAAGGAGCTGAGTGTTCTGTGTTCTGATCCAGGTGCAATGGCAGAAAAGGTGCTGGTAACCGGCGGGGCTGGCTACATCGGCAGCCACACGGTGCTGGAGCTGCTGGAGGCAGGCTACTCACCCGTGGTCATCGACAACTTCCATAATGCCATCCGGGGCAAGTGTGGGGTGGGGCTGGGCTTCCGGAGGGGACGGAAGGAAAGCCCTGGGTACCACCTCGAAGGGGTGTGTGTGTGGCCAGTCCCCAGGACCCCATCTCTGATTCTGATGGCCTCTGTGTGCCCGACCAGGAGGCGGGTCCATGCCCGAGAGCCTGCGGCGGGTTCAGGAGCTGACAGGCCGCTCTCTGGAGTTTGAGGAGATGGACATCTTGGACCGGGCAGCCCTGGAGCGTCTCTTCAAAAAGGTGTGTGTGTGGGGGGGAGTTAGGCAGGGGCCCTGCCGAGGGCCGGGCCTTTCGAAGCAGCCCTGACCCTGCTTGTCCCTGCAGCACAGCTTCACGGCCGTCATCCACTTTGCGGGGCTCAAGGCCGTGGGCGAGTCAGTGCAGAAGCCTCTGGATTATTACCGAGTTAACTTGACAGGAACCATCCAGCTTTTGGAGGTGAGACATGGGGCAAGGACAGACACAGGGAGGGCCTGGTGGGCAGTGCCAAGCAGTGGGTAAGAGGGGTAGAGTCAGGCAGGGCCCAGACCTGTACCATCCTGGACACACGTCTTTACCTCTCCGCCTCAGACTCCCCATCTGTACATGGGAGTGCCCATACCTCAGCCCCACCCACCTGTGAAGGAGTACGGGGCTGGGAATAACTGATCCCTCCCCCCCCGGCCCCCACGGCCAGATTATGAGCGCGCACGGGGTGAAGAACCTGGTGTTCAGCAGCTCGGCGACCGTGTATGGGAACCCCCAGTACCTGCCCCTGGACGAGGCCCACCCCACGGGTGGCTGTACTAACCCCTACGGCAAGTCCAAGTTCTTCATCGAGGAAATGATCCGGGACCTGTGCCAGGCAGACAAGGTGAGGGGTCCCCTTGACCTTGATCCTCCTGCCCCCATGAGCCTACTGTGAGCCTACAGGTGGGATTCTAAGCACCGCCCGCCCAGGAGGACGCTGGAGCTCGGGAGGCGGCGGTGACTGCGCAGGGTCACAGCACCTGGGAGGGCCGGGCCCCTGCTCCTTCCCAGGGACCGAGAATGGCTCAGGGACCTCGGAGGCAAAGGCCTCTGCACTGAGCTGGGACACAGCCTGTCGCCTCCCCCCTCATTGACCTGCCCGCAGACCTGGAATGCGGTGCTGCTGCGATACTTCAACCCCACGGGCGCCCACGCCTCGGGCTGCATTGGCGAAGATCCCCAGGGCATCCCCAACAACCTCATGCCCTACGTCTCCCAGGTAAGGGAGCGGGGGTGAGGGGGAGCATGTCCTCAGCCCCTAGAGTGGAGGGGTGCAGCTGGTGTTGAGAGAAGAGCTGACCTGACCTCCCCCAGGTGGCCATTGGGCGACGGGAGGCACTGAATGTCTTTGGCAACGACTATGACACGGAGGACGGCACAGGTGAGCCAGGACCAGGGGTCAGGAGTGGGAGCCACGGAAGTGGGGTGGACCATACTGAACCCTCCCGCACCCACTCCCCGGCAGGCGTCCGAGACTATATCCACGTGGTGGACCTGGCCAAGGGCCACATCGCGGCCCTGAGGAAACTGAAGGAGCGGTGTGGCTGCCGGGTAGGGAGAAAGTAGACGTGGGGGGTGGAGTGCTGGGCAAATGGGGACAAGGCGGTGGCTAGTCCCGCCCCCTCCACATACCTGTCCTCTCCGGCAGATCTACAACCTGGGGACCGGCACGGGCTACTCGGTGCTGCAGATGGTCCAGGCCATGGAGAAGGCCTCCGGGAGGAAGGTAGACCACCTGCCCTGCCCCGCCCACCCGACTCTCGGCGATAGGCCTGGCCCCTCCCACTCACCTACCCGAGGGGCACTGCCGTCTACTCACCTGCTTCAGCGCTCTGTGCCGTTCGGGATCCTGCCCTGCACCCGCACCTCCATTTCTTGAGGTCAGCAGCTGGCTGGGTGAGGCCGGGGCTAGCGCAGCCAAGCTACAGCTGTCCCCTCTTGCAGATCCCGTACAAGGTGGTGGCACGGCGGGAAGGTGACGTGGCTGCCTGTTACGCCAACCCCAGCCTGGCCCGGCAGGAGCTGGGTTGGTCAGCAGCCTTAGGGCTAGACAGGATGTGTGAGTACCAGCCCGCCCTGTGGGAGTGAGCTCGGGCGAGAAGGGCCGACCGGGCCTGGGGATGCCTACCCTGGGCTACCCGACATGGGGGGGCCCTGCGTCCCAATGTGGCTCTGACCGCACACCTCGCCCTGCCCCAGGCGAAGACCTGTGGCGCTGGCAGAAGCAGAATCCTTCCGGCTTCGGCGCACAGGCCTGAGCCCTCCTCCGCGGACGGGAAGGAAGACACAGCTGTTGCTCTCCAGCGTCTGCAGGCCCAGGGGCCCGGGCGCCTCCTACCTGGGCGCCTCCTACCTCAGGCCCGGCCAGCCCGGCAGCCCACAGCCTGAGGCCAGGGCTCCAGTGATGAGGAGTCAGTGGTCTCTGAACCCCCCCTCCCCCCACCGGGGGCCGGGAACCCAGCAGGATCACCAAGAGCGAGCAGAGGAGGCAGGCCTGGGACTAACACCCTCCGCCCAGGCACTAAGTTATACCGCCGCGAAGGCACCTCCAAAGTATTTAAAATAAAGTTTTCTTACACTGGAGCCTCTTCTCACACCCGTCTCTCCCTACCACCCAACTAGAATCAGACGGGCCTGAGAGTTAAAGCGATTTCTTTAATTTTATCGGAATCCAGGACACAAGAAAAACACCTGAAACCACATGGAGACAGAAGACGAGACACTTCTCCCTACCTCCCCTGGCCTAGAGTGGGGACAACACGGGGTGACACAGCTGGGGGAGCCCGGGAGCCTCAGTCCAGCCCGCAGGCTCCAGGCCTGCGGGGAAGGAAGGTAACGGGGAGGCAGGGCCCAGCCCCCAAACCAGAAAGGGCTGAGGAAAGGCCCCCTCCAAGGACTCTGCCCCTCACTGACAGTTCTGCCCGGCTGTAGCCCACGGCAGCAAGGGGCTTGGGGACATGGACACATTCATGATTGAGAAGCAGCTGGAGTGGAGGCAGGAGAGACGCACGATTATCTGGGCAAAATCGGTTGGGAGGGGGTAGATGGGGCCTGGGAGGGCCCCTTGGGCCAAACCCTGAGGTCACAGGAGGGGGCCCAAAGCGGGGCTAGTGAGTGAGATCCTGAGTGAGTGGGTCAGCGGCCGGGCCCTTCTCCCGCTGCCTAAGCCCCTCCAATACTGCTGCCGGGGCCGCCTCCAGGAAATGGGAGAAACAGCCCAACCCCTACTGCCGAAGCCGGAGCGGGTGGCTGAGGCCAGGAAGGAAGGCCTGGCCAGCCGGGCCGCCTGCCTCAGAGGCCCGGGGGGAAGAGGATGGGTCAGGGGGGGGGGGACCGGGGCTCGACCGGCTCAGATCCAAGATGGTGCCACACGTGCTGGGTCCCCTGTGAGCTGGGGGCCAGCCACTCTGGTTAGACAGGAGGCAACAGCTTCTCCAGGAACTCCTTCACGGCTGCCATCTCCTGGGGGAGGGAGGGGACTGTCAGAGGCTCCGGAGGGAGGGAGGGAAGAAGGGAGGGAGGGAGGGAGGGAGGGAGGGAGGGAGGGAGGGAGGGAGGAGAGGGGTAGGAGTTAGAAGCGGCCCTTTACCACTGACCTGAGGACAGGAGCCGTGCATGACACCCGGGTAAGTCTTGAACTGGACCCTGGCGGGTGTGACAACGGTCCGGAGCTTCTCAGCTGTCAGGGCCCCAAACCGTACGGGAACCATGGGGTCCAGCTCCCCATGGCACTGAAGGATGGCCAGGTCCTTGGCATTGCCATTGGCTGCCTGTGGGCCAGACAGGACTCGGGGCAAAACCAGTGCTTCAGCACAATTCCCATGCCGCCAGGAGACGCAAAGGGCAGGAGGGGGTCACGGAGACACTCACCTGGGGGAAGGCCCGGTGCAGAGGCAGCCAGCAGCTCAGCGCCACAATGCCAGCCAGAGGGTGAGGGCAGGTGAGGGCCGTGTACAGGGACAGGGCCCCGCCCTGAAGGAAGGACGGAGTTAGTCACGAGGGCACAACTCACCTACCCACTGCCCACCACCCCCTCGCCCCTCACCTGTGAAAAGCCTCCCAGGACGATCCGATTGGCAGGGATCCCATTCTTCATCTCGTGCTCAATCAAGGCCTTTACTGGGGAAGGGGCATGACTGGGTGAGGAGAGCTGCTGGCGGGGCCCCCAGGAAAAGACCCAGACAGGGGCACTGCCCAGCGCTTCCTGCAGGGGGGGTGGGGAGAGCGAGCATGCTGAGGGGCTGGGGCCTTACTGTTCTCTGCCGCCTTCTTGATGCCAGCCTCGTCCTCAGGGGCATCTGGACTCAGCCCCATCAGGTCAAACCTGGGAAGGCAGAGGCATTGGAGCTAAGGAAGACCCCAGCCAGCCCCCTACAGCTCCCACTGCCCCGTCCCCACACTCACCAGGAGGGCATCACCATCTTCATGTTGAGTGTCACGGGGATCCGAGGCCTGAGGAAAACACGAGAAGGGCCGTCATGCCTCGGAGGGATGAGAAAGCCATCGCAGTGATCCCAGAGAGGGCAGAGCAGCCCCTGGGGGCCCCTCCCAGCAGGCAGGGCCTGTGTTTAAGGTGTTGCCAGGCAACCTGCCACCACGTGGGGCTGGAAGCTGTGGTTAAAGCATCAGCAGTAGAGATAGAGATGGAGAAGCGGAGCCCAGCGCTCAGCTTGCCGGGGTTCCAGCCCAGCGGGTGAGTACTTGGGGAAGGGGAGCAGGGGGTCCTGGGTCTCAGGTCTGGGAGGCCCTGGGCTGAGGGCTGGGGCTGGACTCCGGTCCTGGGGGCTCCACAGGAGTGAAGGCTGAAAATGGCACTTCCTGCCCAGGCCCCAGGATGCGGCGGGCAGGAGAGAACAGACCTAGGACCACAGAATTACCTCCCTAGCTGACTCCCCCCTCAGCCCCTCCCTGGCTAGGGTGACACTCACGCATGGGGACAGATGTACTTGACGTGAGGGAGCCGGATGGTGGAGAGGGCGTCAGCCCAACTGTGCCTGTGGGAGGAGGGAGGGGAGAAAAGGCCCCGATGGGAGACGGAGAAAGGGGAGGCACAGGCCTCTCTGGCCCTGCAGCTGGACCGTCCCACCTCCCCTGGGCACTCCCACTCCCCGGCTCACTCACCCTGTGTCTCCAAGTCCATGTAAGAAAATAACCTGGAAAAGGATCAGAGGTGGACAGATGGGGCAGAGGGTAGTCATCATCATGCTATATTCCTTACTGTCCAACTTCTGGCCACTCCTCCCCCCCTGGGGGAACCGAGGGAGCAGCCAAACAGGTTATTATCCAGCCCCCCACCTCCAAGCTTCTCCCTTCTCATCACCGCCACCTCCATTTTTCCCACGCCCCCTCCAGCCAGTTCCCCAGGGCCCGGGAGCCGCCGTGGGTGCGGGGGGGACCCTTACCGCAGCCGTTTCCCGCTCAGCTCCAGACACGGTGGCAGCATCGGTGAGCAGGGGCACAGACATGGTGTTACCACACATACACTGCAGGGCTCCAGGCTGGGGCCTGTGCAAATACAGGGGGGCCGTCAAGAGCCAGCTCAGGCAGCGGACAGACTCCTGGCACAGGGCAGAGCCTCAAACCCGGGGCCCACTCAGGCCATCGGCCCCACACGGCACCCACGGTTCTGTCCTGAGCACAGAGAAAGGCGGGGAAGTCCTGGGCTGGAGCAGGTAGGACGCTTGCCTCTGTTCTAAGGATGAGAAGCGGAGGTGCCCCCTCTAGTGCCCCTGGTTCTGGCCACTCACAGCCTGAGCTTGCTAGGGATGGGCAAAGGCTGGGCTTGGGGGCTGTGGGAGCAGGGATTTCCCCTGCAGCCTTCCCCCACTGACAGTCCTCAGCCTTCTTAGGGCTCTCCAATCGTCCCCTCCTCTAGCGCCCCTGAGTCCCTTCCTCCCCAACTCCTCGCCCTCCTGGGGGGGATGCCAGGGAAATAAGCTTCCAGCCTCTACTCCCCAGGACCCCCCATATTCTCTCCAACCTCCCTCCCCCCAGCCCTCACCCAGCCTTCACAGCAGTTTCTGGCTTGGCCATTTCCAGAGCCCCTGAGGGGGGCTGCCCTGTCCCCCAAGGCACACAGACTCCGGCCCACCACCCGCCTCTAACTGGTGCCCCACGCCCCCCTGAACGCTGCTGCCCACCGACCCCAAAAGGGTCCCCCGGCTTGACCCCCAGCGCTCTGAGACCGCCAGACACACACAAGAATGCCAGGCTGGCTCCTCATCGCCCTGAGCATCCTCCCGACTCCCCAGAAGCTTCGGCCACCTGCCCCCAAGTGCCTGCCCTTCCCTCCACTCGGTGCCCTCTGCACAGTGGGCTCCCTCCCCTCGTCACACACCTTGCACCCTAAACTGGGGTTCCCTCCCACCTCTCACCCCGGAGTCCTCCAGTCTCAGGACGGAGCCCCACCCCCGGCCTGGGGTCTCCCTCCTTCCCTCCCTCCCTCCTTCCCCTAAAAACTTCCACCCCGCCCCAGGGGTTCCCACTCCCCACAGTGAGAACTTCCGCTCTGAACGAGGGTGGCCCCCGCCCTCCAGGGACATTTTCTGCCCGGACCCGGGACCCGCTGCTGCCCACAAAGGGCCGCTTTACCTCTGACCGTGGGGAGCCCCCGCCTCACAATGGGATCTCTCACTTCCGACCTTAAAAGTCCCTCTCGGCACACGCGGACCCCACTTCTCACCGCCCGTCATCCCCCAAGTCCCCAGCCTGGCCAGCGCCTCTCCGCGCCGCACTCCCCGCCCCCATCTCACAGCCCGGCCGCCTCCCCTCTCCCCGGACCCCGAGGGCCCGCGCCCCGCCGCCCCCGCCCAGCGCCCTTCCTCCGCCCGCCGGCCCGGACGGTACCTTCACTCCCTGGGGGCTCGGAGACCTCTCGGGCGGTCCTCCTGCTGCTCCGGCTCACACACACACTCTTCCCCCTCCACCGCCCCCGCCGGAACTTCCGTTGGCGTCCGGGAACCCGGCCATCGCGGTACCGGAAGTAGCCTGGCCAGGGGTACGGAACCCGGAAGTGGGCGGCGGGGTGTCAGACAGGAGCCGCCCTGCTAGGTGCCCGGGGCCACTCCCCGCAGCTCAGCCCAGCTCAGCCCGCAGGCACCTGGAGAATTCGGACTGTGTGTCCGGGGGCCCCTCGACTGCCGCCGCCGCCCAGGCGCCCCCCGGAGGGAAGCTGTCCGGAAGGAGAGGCGCTCCGCACCGGAGCAGGAAGTTTCCCCGCCGCCGCCCCGCGCCGGCCGCGCCCGCGGTCCACCCTTCAGGATGGTCTGGGCTGTCCACCGCAAGCTTTCCTGCCCCAGCCCAGGATCGTGGGTGGAATCCTTAAAAGACCTTCTAGTCCTCCCAGTCTTATTTTTAAAACGAGGAAACGGAGGCCCAGGGAGCGGAAGTAAGCAGCAATCTCAGGATGATACTCTGCACTGCTTTCTGGGCTGTAAAATGGTGACAATCACCACCCTGCCAACTTCACAGCTTTGCTGGTAGGCTCAAATGAGAAACGCTTAATACATCATAAAATCAGCGTGAGGCCTAATGGCTCTTAAAAGGACCCTGGGAAAAGGACACAGGTCACAGCAGGACAGCTGGACAGGCCTCCGGCAGGGTTGTCTTAGCACAAAATACCACCATCACTGAGCTCGTTATTAAGGACAAAAAGGGCTTCCTTTGGGTACCAATGAGTCACCCTTTGCTCCTTGCTGCACTGGTGATGTGGAAATGGGGATCAGGGTCCACGGAAAAGTTGAGTTGAAGGATGTCCCTGAGAGAACATGTGGCCACGTGTAAACAATGAGTGGTGCTCAGCCCTCAGCTGCTTAGGACTCCTTTCAGCAATACCTACACTATTTTTTCTTTGAACTGAAACACACACACACACCAGTAAACTTGGAAGCTCAGCCAAGCATTTTCTCCCAGGGTAAGAGGCAGTTTGGACTAAGTGCTCAACAGGTCAGAGACAACCTAAAATACCAGGATTCCCCGGAGCAGAAAAGCTTCAGGTCCAGAGGACCACAGCAAGCCAAGGACCCAGGACCAGAAAGGAGATGAGTGGATGAAGACTACACAGCTACTCCCACTCTCAATGGAATCCCTACCGGATGTTATGAAAGAAGGAACAATTCCTTCCACACTCCTCATCACCTGACACACTGTGGCACTTTGATCAAATTCTTTCGAGTGAAATCTCAAATTCAGAGGCTGTGATTGTACTGTATTTTTGTATTTATTTTTAAATATGTTTTATTGATTTTTCACAGAGAGGAAGGGTGAGGGATAGAGTTAGAAACATCGATGGGAGAGAAACATTGATCTGCTGCCTCCTGCACATTCCCCACTGGGGATGTGCCCGCAACCAAGGTACATGCACTTGACCGGAATCGAACCTGGGACCCTTCAGTTTGTAGGCCGACGCTCTATCCACTGAGTCAAACCGGTTATGGCTGTGATTGTGCTTTAATTAGTGGATTAATGAAGGGCTATCCTGTCCTAAGACTTCTCATGTTCTTTTTTATCTTCAAAACGATACAACTGAGTAGGACTCTTAGTTCATAAATAATTGCATTTGCTCCTGGTTGGTTTCAGGCGGTATTTTAGAAATGTTGAGGCTCAACAAAGTTTATTGGTGGCAGGCTTTACATAGGATAGCCTGGGTAAATAGTGGGTATATCCTAATAGTGTGAACCAAAGCCCTAGAGCAAGGGTGGGGAATGTCTGGCCTGTGGGCTGTATAAGGCCTGAGAAATCTGGCCCTGCCAGGGCATTAGGGACCCAGTTAATTGTTTGACCAAATACAGAGGCTAATTTTTAAGTTGATAACTTTGTGTGGCCCATGAATGATTGCAATACCCAAATAGCCCCTGGCAGAAAAAGAGGTTCTCTAACCCTGTCCTAGAGGAATGGATCAGATTCAATACTAATTCCCATGAGCAACTGTATTGATATCACTGTAGCATTTTTTTAAAAATATATCATTGATTTTGTACAGAGAAGAAGGGAGAGAGATAGTTAGAAACATCGATGAGAGAAAGTCATCGATCAGCTGCCTCTTGCACACCCCTTACTGGGGATATGCCCACAACCAAGGTACATGCCCTTGACCAGAATCGAACCCGGGACCCTTCAGTCCCCAAGCCAACGCTCTATCCATTGAGCCAAACCGGTCTCGGCTCACTGTAGCATTTTTATCTACTTGGTCCAAAACAACAAATTTCAAAGTTATATACAGTTCTCTCTACTTTCTGCAAGTGAGAGAATACTGAACATTTGAAATCCTCTTTGTAGATAACTTCAATTCTCTCCAATGGCAATTCTCTCTTCAGTTTCAAATGTTAAGTCCAAAGTCTTGGGTCCACCTTACTTTCCTCGCTCTCATTTCTTCTGAACTCCAGAAGCTGTTCTCCCTCGTTTACACAATTTTCTTTCATGAAAATGGAATAAAGGTTAATCTCATCTTCTTTACAAAATGTTTAATGGATCGGTGGGTACAGGAATGTTTTTAGTCGTCTGTACAAAATTAGCTCAACCTTTCCTGGAAAAGCTGATCTAGTCTTGATATAACTGTAGCATTTTTATCTACTTGGTCCAAAACAACAAATTTTAAAGTTATATACAGTTCCCAGTAAAGAAAAAGTTTCATCAGTACTACCAAGAACTCAAAAGACACAAAGAAGAAGTTTGGCAAGGATTTATTAGGAAGCTTAGTCACAGTGAATAAAAAGCCATGACAAGAACTGAGATCTCCAAATTCTGGCACTTGCCTTACAACACTAGCTAGGAGCTAATAAACATTGAGGATGTCCCAAGGGGAGTCTTACCTAAGGCCCAATCTTACCTGGGCCAGGTACCCGCAAACATAGAAATGAGATGCCCATGCTCTTCCCAGACTGCTTACCTAGGCAGCAGGAAAGAAGACCTTCTCCTCAAGCTATTAATTAAGCATCATCAGGAGAGTCCTGCTCTTCCAGCTATAACCATGGCACACTAGTGCATGACAGACAACTTCAAGCTGAGCAACTTGACAAGAATGCTAGATGATGACAGGGAGAAGGAGCAAGCAGGGACAAGTATTTCTAATTGGAGACCTTCCTGATGGCTAATACGAACACAATGCTGAGGCTTCAGAAAGTTTACTGCAACCCAGGAATAGTTGCCATTGAAGGAAAAAAAAAAAAAGTCACACAAAAATCCTGCCACAAAGTAAGACACTTGAAATCCCAGGGCCACACTGACTGGAAAGGCAGGCATTATCCATGACTGCCAGATACTGACCAAACCAAGACCCAATTCCTACAGGGCCCTAGAGAACCATGATTGTCCCCTGGCACCCACACAACCCTCCCGGTGGTGTGGTGTCGTACGCAGGCCAGGTTTCTGCAGTAAGCCCCAACGACAAAGCTTGGCAGAGGCTGTGGCAGTCAACTCCCTCTGGAGCCCCATCTCTCTGTCCTTCCCAACAGGCTGTCATACATCTTCACTGACACAGAGCCTCTGTGGAGCCTTGGCCAGCCCCTAGGAAATGAAGTGTGTCTGTGGGGTAACCTGATGGACTTTGTGGTCTGCTGGGTTGGCCGATGCTTCATAATTGCAGATGGTTACCTCATGTCGGCGAAACTGCAAGAAAATTGAGATGCTAGGTCAGCTGGCTACTTCCCAGATGACACAGTGCAGTAGTCCTTATTCAGGTCCATTTCTAGAAGTCATCATCTAATCTCTTCCCCATTCTGATACTTTTTATCTTGAGAAGGATGCAAAGACCATTATCAATAATTCACCCCATAACTAAGAAGATTCGTTCCCCCACTATATTGGAGGCACCCTGAGAAAAAGGACCTTCTCTATCTTGTTTATCATTTTATCTCTGCTGCCTGGAACAAGAAAGACTCTCAGAAATGTTAAATGAATGCTTTCTTCAGCACATAATATACTAAAAATGTTGAACAAAAAAAAAAAAAAAAAAAATTGAAACAATTTTAAACTGAAAAACGAAATTGATATCAACTGTATTATTTTTACCCTCTTAAAAATACCTATCTATATAGCCTCTCAAATGACAAAGGCAGTTTAAGTGATGAAACCAAGAAAAATTATAAACAGACTGAGAGCAATCAATGTCTCAATTTGCTCTTTTTCCTTAAAGCTCTCCCTACCACATCATGAAGATATGTACACGTATGTACACATATTGAAGAGGGCAACGTTTCCTGTCCCATCTTACCTCAGTCCATTCTCCTCTCAGGCCAATATACAAGACCTTTGTGGTATCTGCCCCAAAGTTTTTTGAAATATGAATTGAGAGATGATAGACACTTGAAAAACGAGATATTCTAAAGGATGAAGGAGTGGAAAGAAAAGACATAGGTTAGAGTTCAATTAGCATCTCACCTCAATGTTAAAAACAACAATCCCAGCTCTAATTGTGGTAAAACCTAGGCAAATGTCACAGAACATTCTTGGGGTTTTATGTCTCATTCTTTTCCTTTGGACAAGCAATTAATTCAGTGAACATTTATCTCGTATTTGCCAGATCCTAAGGCAATAAGGATAGAAAAGTGAACTAACACTGCCCCTGTCCTCAAAGGGCAGGATTAAGATATGCTGCCCTGACCAGTTTGGCTCAGTGGATAGAGTGTCGGCCTGCAGAACTGCAGGTTCGATTCCGGTCAAGGGCATGTACCTTGGTTGTGGGCACAACTCCAGTAGGAGGTGTGCAGGAGGCAGCTGATCAATGTTTCTCATCGATGTTTCTAACTCTCTATCCCTCTCCCTTGCTCTCTGTAAAAAAATCAATTAAAAAAAAAAAATGCTGTATGACCAAGCAGAGATGATAACGTGAGTTCAACGCTAACCTTCCCTTAGGAAATAAGATGGTTACATGTAACTTGACCTGTTATAAGCCAACTGTGCTCAGAGGAATTCTGAAATCATCTTTCCTAAGGCCAATCTAGGAGCTCATTCAGATCTGCCAATTGCTTACAAGTTAACAAATCCGTGGCTTGCATCAAATCTCTGCCAAAAATTGACCAAGCCAAGGATCAAATCTCCTCTACTGTTTTAACCTGTTTCTGATGCTAAGCGAGCAGGAGACAGGCCAAAACTAAATTGCAAGCCCAACAAACACTAATGCACATGTGCTCATTGTAAATGAGGAAGCGCCTCAGAAGCCACAGAACACCTGAAACCTGTATAATTTCATTAACCAAGGTCGCTCTAATAAGTTCAATTTTAAAAATAAATAAAGCTTAAAATTCAACAAGAAAAGAAGCCACAGAGAATGGAAGATGGGCCCAGTGCTTACTTTGTAGCATATTCTAATTCTCCTGTAAGATCCCGGTTCAAACTAAAGGTCTGATCTGGCTCCCTGTCCGTGTCATCAAAGGACATCTGTGGAATGTTCTTATACCTGAGAAAGGAAAGGAAATAAAGAAATGTGAATCACCAGATTTTTAAGTTTTTCAAAACTTACTATTGACAGCTGCCTTCAGTTCTACCAAAAAGAGATCAAATTTTGGAAATGGCATTTTTCCACAAATACCTTAATCCGACAAGAGCTGAAAACTGCAACGTACGCCAAGGGCATCTTTGAGCGGGTTAGGGTCACGTGAGAAGCATCCACAAAGAAATGGCTCAAACTAGGTCACATGCAGCCAAAGCATGGAGAAAATACGTGACTCAGCGCATTCAGACCATGCCGAGGATGTTCCAATAAAACAGCTTACTCATGAGGGGAAATACTTTGTCAGAAACATATTGAACAGTTAAGAGGTAAGATCAGGCAACCCACTGCTCAACCATTTTTTGTGTCCAAATTCCACTAACAGGACTCGGTTGATTGGAGCATTGTCCCACACACCAACCTGGCACACACTTAGGTTGCAGGTTCGATTCCTGGTCAGGGTGCATGAGGCACACAACTGATGAATGACTCATTCTAAGCTCTACATGTTTTATACTATTTAATTCTCTCCACAATCTTATGAGATTTATACTATTACTACTACCATTTAACATATGAGAAAATTGAAGTTTAGAGACAAGTACCAAAGTCATGCAGCTAGCAAGTGATACAAACAGAATTTGAACCAAAGCAGTTTATTCCAGAGCCCACTCCTAACCACAGTATATGAATGTCTAGTCTTCTCAATCCTATCCATAAGCATTAACTCAAACATACTCTTTTCCTAAAATGATTAAATATGTGAAGTTTCTTTCAAATTCATGTTCCTAACATTAAAAAATAGTGTTAATTTCTTAAGTATGTTTTATATTGATCAATTTTATTTAAAAAATACATTTCCCTTTAAAAATGTTTTTATTGATTTTTAGAGGAAAGGAGACAGAGAGATGAACATCAATAATCTGCCTCCTGCTGCCCCCTACTGGGGATCAAGCATGCAACCCAAGCAAGTGCCCTGACCTGTGATTCACGGGTCAATGATCCACACCGGCTGGGCTAGAAATTTTTGTAAAATTCTTCTGGTATTTGTTTCTTCAATACTCCAAAAGCAATTTTCTCTTCTTTTAGGCAAGTTGTTAAAAAGGGAGCACTAGCCCTGGCCGGTGTAGCTCAGTTGCTTGAGTGTTGTCCTGTGAACTGAAAGGAAGCCAGTTGGATTCCCAGTCGGTTTGATTCCATCTGAGTTCAATCCCCTGTTGGGATGTGTGTGGCCTATCTCAATGTTATGTTCTCACATTGACATTTCTCTCTCTAAAAATCAATAAAAACATATTTAAAGAAAAGGGACACACACGGACGGACACACACACACACACACACACACACACAAAACAAAACCGGGGGGGGGGGGGGGGGGGAAGGATTGCCAGCTCTGATGGCAACAGATCCAGTGTTCCAAGAGGTATATAAAATTTTACTAACTAAAGGCCACACAGACTCAAATGGAGTAATTCCATGTCAGCAAAACACACGGAAAGATTACATACAATTGTGTGAAATAGCAAGAGGAAATTTTGAAGCTAACTGCAAGAGTAGAATCATTTGAGACCTGCAGCTGGGTCATTAGGAAAACTGCTAAGTCATCAACAATTGGCGTTGACTAAGATCTCCCTGAGTAAGTGGTGCCACGGAAGCACTTAGGAAAAGAAGAGACAAGCTGTTGGTCTTAAAGATGCTTAACTTAAAAAGTCATTAATTCAGGAAGAGATAAGTATATTCTGATGTAGAACGCGACTAACATTACTTCAAGGCGGGAGGGGATATTTTAGCCAGTAAAAAGAAAGAATTACATTATTCTGGAATAAATTAATACCAGAGGAAAGAGAGAGCTAGCAGCTTCTTGGGGACATAAGCCCTTAACACTTACAGTCTCATCTCCGAGGGGTGTGAGTCATCATCCTCTCCCATTATAATGATGCCTTTGAGCTTGACGTTGCCTGTAAATCTGCCGGAACGCAAAAGAGATGGCTGTCAACCTGGGTTTGAGTCTCGGCTGACACCAGGCAAGACCCTTCCCCTTTCTGGACTTCAGTGCAAGTGTCAACCTGTACAGATCATCCCTGAGATCCTGTCTGCCTCTGGCACTGCGCAGCTCCAAGACATTCACCTGGACTTTCCAGTTATCTTTCAACGAATACATCTTTTTCGTCTGCACCGAGAAATCTATGCCGCTTTTCCTCCTCAAACCCACCAACGGCCATTTACCCCAGTGCTAGACACAGATGGTTCTCGACAAAGCCAATGAATGAGTCCTGATAAGGCAACTGGGCTTTGGCCTGAGGCAAGCACTAAGGAGATACTTACGGGATATTAAACAGAAGCTCTTCGTCCGCATCACTTTCCACAAACTGGAGGGGAGGGGAGGAGGGAGGAGAAAGCAACAAATATTTGCTGAGCGCCTACAATCGCAGGTATCTGACCCTGTTCTACAACCCGAGTGCAAATGCAAACTAGTTACCCTCCCTTTGGTTTGCCAGCGCTTAATATTAAAAAGCTGACAGCCACAGCCCATCCAAAGGGCTCTTACTGCGGAGCCCATGAATGAACTTCCAGGGCCTACTTGCCCCCGAAATTGTGCGCAAAGATCTGAGCCAATGCGGCCCACGACTTTCAATGGGAAAAGCTCTAGAATGGGGTGACAAGCTTCACCTCCCTGGGCTGGTCTCCAGGGGATATCATCAGGCAGCCACTGGAACTAGTGGTCCAATGGTAGGGGGAAAAAAACCAAAAACCTCATGGCCACCCTCCCTTTCTACCCACCGAAGCCCAGGGACAGAACGCTGGCTGAGCCCCTTTCCCTGTCTGGGCCTCAGTTTTTCTATCTGCAAAATGGGGAGCTCGGTCCTGCTGGGCTCCCCAAGGGCTAGCAAAAGATGGGCACGGGAAAGCGCCTCGCAACCGGGCTGTCGCCGTTTCCAACTCCGGGCCCACCTTGGAGCGGTCGCTCCGCTCCTCCCACGGCTTGAAGACGCCGCGGCCGCTGCCCTCGCGGCTCTCGTTGAGGCACTGCAGCCGCTCCAGGTCGATGCGCAGGTACAGGCCGTAGGCCAGGCCGCGCTGCTCCGGCGGCTCCTCGCGCTCCGCGGCGCAGCGGCAGCCGCCCCCGCCGTGGCTGTGGCCGTGCGACATGGCGACGCCGCAGCCCGCGCGTCTCCCTCAGCCCCGGCGCCGCCGCCGTCCGCGCCGCGTCCCCTCCGCACCGGCGGCCGCCAAGCGCGCCGCCGCCGCCGCCGCCGCCGCGTCGTAAAAGGCGCCCCTGTGCGGCGCATGCGTCCAGGGAGCGGGGGGCGGGCTCGGGGAGGATTGACGTCCGGCCCGCGCTTCCAGGTGCCTGGGAATTCCTGTGGCCTTTTTTTTTTTTTTTTTAAATCCTAGAGACAAATGCTATGGCTAGCCCCGTTCCCCAGACGTGACACCGAAGGGCAGGGACGTGAAGTCGGCGCTCCGAGTCCTCCTCCCGCTTAGGCTGGAGGCTGTGCTTTCACCGCCGCCGCGTCGGGAGCCGGCGGAGGGGAGCGTGCGCGGCGATAAGGCCCCGGAGAGCCGGGGGACGACGCTATCGCCGCCCCCAGGTGCACGCCGGGCGCTGAGACCTTACAAACCCTCTCCCGCCGCTTTCTCCGCAGTGGGCCCCGCGGGCGAGAGCGCGGGCCCGAGGGAGGGCCGGACCCGAAGGCAAGGCCTGAGTCTGCTGCTCTGAACAGGCCGTCTTCCCCATCCCGAGGCTTGGTTTCCTCCTCTGCGAAGTGGGGATGACAGTATCTGCTTCACAGGATCGCAGTGAGTATTAAGCGACACAACGCGCTCGGCGCGGTGGCTGACACATGGTAAGAATTCCGTAGCTGAGCCAAGTCTTCATTCACATCCAGGCACTGCCACCTACCAGCTGTGGGGCCTTGGGCTCAGGGTCTCGCTCTGCCTCCTCCCTCTGCAGGGCCGGGCCGGGCCGGGCCTGGCCTGGAGCTGGACCCTGAAGTTCCCTCCCCGTGTGATAATTCAGAGCAGTTTTTTTTGTTTGTTTGTTTTTGTTTTTCGTTTTTGTTTTTTTCCAAAGGGCTGGTTGCAGCCCATTTAGAGAGTGGAGGAATAGGACCATTATTCCAAAAGTAAAATAGAATAAGAAAGTCAGGACGTATCACGCATTCTAAGTCCCAGTTCATGGAACTTTGTTAACGTTTCGGGTCTGTGCAGCTAGGTGCAGCGTAAGATGTTTTTCATGTTGTGGACTGACGTCAGCATAATTGACAGCCGCTATTTCGAGTTGAAATGGTTTTGGTTTCAGGATAGAATGTGTTCTTATGTCTTGGGGGAAGGTGGGGGCAGGATGCAGAGAGAGGGATGGGATATGCTGGGTTTCCCCTGCTCTTCTTCCCTTCTGGATCTGGAGCATACAGATAAGATGAGGTTGGTGAAACACAAACCAAAATATCCAAATGTATGAGTTTCATTCAGAAATATTTTGATGTCCTAGTTCAATTCCTTGTGAAATAGGCAAACTTGGCCCTGGTTCAGCATAGCTCAATATCTTGAATTATCCCTGCTTTCACATCACAGTGTCAGGCAAGGGGGTTGGCATGTGGTAGCAGCTTAGTAAATGTTTAATTGAATGGTACACTCAGTAGCCTTTCTTTGGAAATATTGTGTCCTCCTGCAGGACTAACAGGCCTGACTGAGGACATCTCCCCCTCTTCCCCCCCCTCCCCTTTTTAAAAAATATATATATATTTTATTGATTTTTTTTTTTACAGAGAAGAAGAGAGAGTGATAGAGAGTTAGAAAGTGATGAGAGAGTGATGAGAGAGAATCATCGATCAGCTGCCTCTTGCACACCCCCAACTGGGGATGTGCCCACAACTAAGGTACATGCCCTTGCCCGGAATCGAACCTGGGATCTTACAGTCCACATGCCGACGCTCTATCCACTGAGCCAAACCGGTTTCAGCAGGACTTCTCCCTTTGGGCTTCTTTGTCATTTGCCATCCTTTACTGATTTATTGAGCATGATGGGCCAGGCATTGTGCTGAGCACATTATGTAGTTCATCTCAATCATCTGTCACATGAACTCGTAAGAGATAGGTAGTGTTACCCACTGTTATCTGCAATTTGAAGATGAGGAAAACGGAGGCTGAAACAGGTGAATTAACTTGTCCCAAACCAGATAAGTTGAGGAACTAACCATGCTTTGAGCACATCGTATAGTTTCCTGAAACAAAAAATTCCCAGGAAGTAGATATGTTGTATCAGTTAGTTTATGCTGTGTAACAAATCACCCCAAAACTTAAAAGCTATAAACAAGCATTTCTTATTTCTCATGATTCTGTAGATTGTCTGGGAAGTTCTTTTCTGAGCCAGGTGGCTTGGGCTAGGTAGTTTGGAATGGCCTCACTCACAGATCCAGTTGATACCGGCTGTCACCTGAGGTGATGGGCCACATGCCTCCAGCAGGCTACCTGAGCTTATGGCAGCAGTTTCGGAGTTCCAGGAACAAGAGAGGGAAGCTCCAATTGCACAAGCACTTTTTAACTCTCGGCTTCTATAATTTTTGCTAATGTCTCTTCAGCCAAAACAACTTTTATTGGCAAAATCCAAATTGAAGGGTGGATAGACTTCACCCTTTGAGTGGAAGAACTGCAAAACACTGTGACTTCTTCGCCCACCCTAGTATACCTGAGTTCTCTTAAAAAATAAAAATAAAATAAATTATATATATATTGACTTTTAGAGAGGGAAGGAGAGGGAAAGGGAGAGGGAGATAAAAACATCAGTGTTGAGAAAGAATCACTGATCGGCTACCTCTTGCACATCCACACTGGGGATGGAGCCCACAAACCGGGCATGTAACCTGGTTCATAGGTTGATGCTCAACCACTGAGCCATGTTGGCGGTGCCTGAGATATCTTTTGGTGTGTGACAAATTACTCCCAAATTTAAAACATCTATTTCACAATTCCTGGCTTAGTTGGGTGATTCTGGCCCTGCTCTCCCATGAGTCTGAAGTCTTCTGAGAGTTTGGGGCTGGAAGATCCACTTCCAGGATGGTGCGCCCACATGGCTGGCTGGCAAGTTGGAGCAGGCTCTTGGTAAGAGGCCTCAGTTCCTTAGATGAACCTCTCCTTGGAATGTCCTCAGGACATGGTGGCTGGCTTTCAGCAGAGCAAAGGACACGGAGAGAGAGCAAGGTGGAGGCCACAGGTCTTCTATGATCTAGCCTTACTGGCAATTCTGCAATATCCCATGGTCCCACAGTCAGCCATACTCAAGGTGTGAGGGAACCACAGAGGATGTGAACACCAGGAGGAAGAATCACTGGAGGCCACCTTAGCGGTGGCTACCACTCCACCAGACATGTTGACTGACTCCTAAAAATTCCTTCCTTGTTCTCACATTTATTTGGTAGTTTGACTGAGGATTCAATTCTCTACAAATTTTGAAGAGATTTCTGTTTTCTTCTAGCTTGGAGAAGTAGGATGTTATTTCTGATTCCTTGTCTGGGTTTCCCTCAGTTTCTTTCTAGAAGCCTTTAAGACCTTCTCTTGGTAACCTACAAATGATGCTGTGGCTTTTCTGTCATTTTGTGCCTAATGGACCCTTCCAGTTTAGAAACTCTTAGTACAGAACGTGGGCATACAGGTTAGGACATCTTTTTTCATGTGCACGAGGCCCCTTGCAGGGAAATATTTAGGAATATGACGAGAAGGGGGCGGGGCCAGGGTCCTGCTCTCCCCCATTCACCACTGTCTTCTAGTACAGAGTCCATGAGACTCAGAAATGTGAATGTGACCTTCCAGCTCATTGTCAAGGCAGCAAAATAGGCAGCATTTTATTTCACATTTTGTCAGCTCCATTTATAACCTTTTAAGTATGCTTCCTCAACCCAGTCCCACGATATTAGGAATGGCATGCTGGGCAAGTTGCTTAGCTTCTCTAAGCTTCAGATTTGTGGTACATAAATGGGAGTAAAAGTACCCACTTTGAAGGGTTTTATCAGGAGGGTAGTATGAGATAATGCCTGAAAAATGTTTGGGTTGATGGGAAAAGGTTAAATAGTTGTCTATTGCTATTGCCTAGCAATCCCTTTCAACTCAGCGCCCTCGTCTGGTTGGATGGAAAACGGCAATTGCTTAGAAGGCTGAATTTGGAAAAAACTGCCCTTAGCTGATTTGGGAATCAGCCTTAGCCTCTGTTGTTCAGCCTGCTGTGTGGTTTGCACTCCTCTATTTGTCTGAAGACAAATGGGAATCTCACTGACTTCTGAGGCTAGTCTGGGGCAGATGGGAAGAGTTTTTTTCTTTCTCCTACTTCCAGGCTCCATCTGCAAACATTTTCTTTCTTTCTTTCTTTCTTTTTTTTTTTTTTTTTTAATATATTTTATTGATTTTTTACAGAGAGGAAGGGAGAGAGATAGAGAGCTAGAAACGTCGATGAGAGAGAAACATCAACCAGCTGCCTCTTGCATACCCCCCACTGGGGATGTGCCCGCAACTTGGGTACATGTCCTTGACAGGAATCGAACCTGGGACCCTTCAGTCCGCAGACTGACGTTCTACCACTGAGCCAAACCGGTTTCGGCTGCAAACATTTTCTTATTCAAGAACTGAATTTGGCCTTGGCATGTGTGGCTCAGCTTGTTGGGGTGGGCACGTGCAATAGGCAGCTAATCAATGTTTTTCTCCCTAAAATAAATTTAAAAAAAAATTTTAAGAACTGAATTTGGCCCTAGCCAGTTTGGCTCAGTGGATAGAGCATTGGCCTGTGGACTAAAGGGTCCCAGGTTCAACTCTGGTCAAGGGCACATACCTTGGTTGCAGGCTCCTCCCAGGCTCAGGCCCTGGTCTGGGATCATGCAGGAGGCAACCAATCACTGTGTTTCTCTCACATTGATATTTCTCTTTCCCTCTCTCTCCTACTCTCCCTAAAAACCAATGGGAAAAATATCCTTGGGGTGAGGATTAACAAAAAAATAAATTATTAAAAAAACAAAACACCAAAAAACTGAATTTGTATCTATTTTCCCATATCACTTATCTCAATGAGGCTAAAACACTGTTGAGGCAAACTGAAAAATATAATAATAATAGCTAGTATGCAAATGGTACTAATGTCAAGCACTGTCCAAAGGGCCTTATTTATACGTGTATTTTTTAATCTTTACAAGTGTCCTATTATCTCCAATTTATAGATGAGAAAACTAGGGCCCATGACAGCTAAGTAACTTGCAAGAGGTCACACAGCTGGTTAATAGTGGAACTAGGATTTGAACACAGGCAGTAGGCCTCCAGAGTCTGTGTTCTTACCACAGTGAGCCTTCTCCAAATATTAATTAATATTGAGGCCCAGTGTGGCTCAGTGGTTGAGCATTGGCCCCTGAATCAGGTCACTGTTACAGGATTCCCAATCAGGGCACGTGCCTGGGTTTCAGGCTTAATCCCCACAGTAAGTGGTGTGTAGGAGGCAGCTGATCAGTGATTCTCTCTCATCATAGATGTTTCTTTCTCTCCCTCTCTCTGAAATCAATAAAAACAAATTTTAAAGATATATTAAGTACTTACTGTGTGCCAAGTTGAGACTCTGGAGCTCAGGCTCTTAACCACCATGTCGTATTTTGGGTTACCTTGCACAAGTTTTTCCCCCCTCAGAACTTGTTACAACAATCCTTTAATAAATGCTCATTCCTGTTGGCTACTTCACCTAATTCATCACCAGCATCCTGGCTAGCATGTCCTGAGCTCTTTTTATAAGCCAGGCACTTTTCTAAGCACTTTACATGTTTTTCTTAACTCATTAGGTCATTGCATGATAGCTCTACAAGGCTGATCCACAGAGAGGTTAGTGACTTGCTCAAGGCACACCTCTAGGAATTGTGGGATTCGAGACTGGGTAGCCTTGGATTATCCAGGGCACTGTGATTGCCCTTGAAGTCTTTGGTGCTCTTAGCAAATCCGTTCTGTGTCCAGGCCCATGGATGAACTGTCCTTTCCTGTCCCCTTGAATTTAGGTGCAGCCAGTGATACAGGCTGGAAATGATGGACGTCACTTCTTGACATAGCTTAGGGGCCAACCGGAAACTGTTTGAGAAACACAGGTATCGCTAGCTATATATGATCTTGATGACCTGAACTTGCCTCATATTCCTTAAAGTTTTTAAAAATAAGACAGTAGGCATCACAGAAAGAGAAGTCTGTGGACCTGTGAAGACAAACTATGTCACCAATTAGCCAATAACCAGGGAGAGACACAGTGGATGTGGAATGCTGGTGGAGGAGTCCTGTGACAGGGGCATTTGTCAAGGTAATTAGCCAGACACCGAGGATTCTTCTGGGCATCAGTTACGTGCAGCAGACAGAGAAATCATTCTTAGAAACGATTGGGGCCTTGGCCCAGGCATCTTTTGCATTGCAGTCAGCTTTGCTGCAGAAGCCTTCCTTTGGGTATGTGTGTTGATTATGAGATAGTTAAATGTGACTGGGAATGTGTGCTTGGGGGTCACACAGCATCACTGCTCACTGATTGTGTGACCCTGGGCAAGTTCCTGATTTCTCTGTGCTTCACTTTTCTCATATATATATTTTAAAAATATATGTATATATTTTTTATTGATTTTGTACAGAGAGGAAGGGAGAGATAGAAACATCGATGAGAGAGTCATCGATCAGCTGCCTCTTGCACACCCCCTACTGGAGATATGCCCGCAACCAAGGTACATGCCCTTGACCGGAATCGAACCTGGGACCCTTCAGTCCCCAAGCCGACGCTCTATCCATTGAGCCAAACTGGTTTCGGCCGACTTTTCTCATTTTTAAAATGAGACCATGACCACCTACCTACCCTGTGGGGTCATTGTGATAACGGAGACAATGTGTACAAGACAGGGTGCTGCTTGGCACATAGTAAGTGCCAAACCATCAGGGCCAGTTACTCTTACCTGAGTGCCAAACTTGTGTTAATCTGTAGTCCAGGGTCTAATACAGGTCCAGGCTCAGCAAATGTTGAATTAATAAGGGACTAAGGGCTAACTTACAAACTCTGGATAAAGTCATCCATCAGTTACCATGTTCCACAATTAACTTCAATGCATAGTAATTTCTAACAGTGAGAATTAGATCCAATCAAGAATTGGAGAAAATAAGTCTAGACTATACATACACCCAAAATGCCTTCATTAGGAGAGAAGGGGTAGTAAAACTGGGTTGTTGTGAGATGCAGGTTTAAGGTAAAATCCAACCCACTGGATGCATGCAGGGGCTGAAATCAAGCCCTTGGCTCCATTAGCAACTGCTGAAACTCCAGCAGCTCAGCCACCACGATAGGTTCTCATTAATTCCTTATTGGCATGACCTGTCCGCTTCAGTGTTCATTACGTTCTCATTAGGAAGCCGTGTAGGACTGAGGAGACCCATATGGTCTTTCACACCCAGAAGAAGTGACTAAGAGGTGGAGGGGCATTCTTTGCAGTCAGAGAATCTTAATTTAAAATCCTTTCTGTTGCTACTTCCTAGCTTTGCAGCTTTTTAGCTGTGCTGTTTCGTGGTCTGAACTTCAGCTTTAACTATGATGGGATGAATAGCTTAGTCCAGGGTTCTGAGTATAACAAAGGACAGTGCCTGGTCCCCACTCTTTGTTCCTTTTTACCCGAGTCCCTCCCTTTGCTTACAGGGCTCTCCCCCCTTTCCCAGCCTGCTATGCTACAGACAAAAACCCAATCCCCCTTTATCCAGCCCAGGGACGAAGATCTCTGTCTCACAGCCCAGGAACCGGACCTTTTGCGACCAACTTCCGTTCTTTGACACAATAAGGGAAAAAGACCAACAGTGATTGGGATTTTTTGTTTGTTTTTTATTTAGACATGGAATTTTTCTTTCATTTCATATAACTTATCTAATTAAAATATTCATCTTGGTAGTTACCACAAAAAAGTAACATAGAAAATTATATTTACATTTTGGGACCAAAATACAAATGAAGAGCAAGATGACAACTTGCTCCTTCCCCTCCCGCTTCCCGGAAAGAAAGAGAAAGCCCTAAAGAAACTGCTCATTATATCAACGATCACATAGGGTTAATTTGTAATTTGCTGATTTGTATGTAGTGTAGCACAGGAAAAAAAATTGCACACGTTTTCACAAATGAGACCAAAAGTTGGACATCATCCTATGTCTGCTCTGCAGCCATGTCCAGCACCCAGGTGAGGAGGTCATTTAGAAATTGGGTTTCTCCTCTTCCTTCCTTCCTGGTTTCACCAAGTCACAGCCCCAATGCAGACATGCGTGGAAGGGGAGGAGGAAAGACCTGGCTCTATGCACACAGGGGTGATTAAAAATCTCTATGGAAGTGATGTCGGGATGAAAATGTGTTTTTCCCTCCCTGTCTAAAGACTCCTAATAAAGGAAATAAAATCATATATAACTGAATCTGAAATGTGAAAGACTGGTCTCAATGACAGACGTGGACACACAGCTAAGAGACAGCTTGAAGGTGGACACCTTGAGGAAGCCGTTTTAGGCACCTGACCCAGATGTTCATTTGGTTTTAGGAAAGAGGCTTCCTAACATTCCTAAGATTCGGGGATAGGGATGGAATGGTAATACAGTCAATCAAGAGAAATAAAATCCATTAAGAGAAATAATGTTTCACCCAGTTAAAAAACAGCAAATTAAAAGAGAGCAATACTTAGGTCACATCACCACAGGCGCCTGTACAGCAGAGCACTGATCTTGCTCCTTAGTAAACTCAAAAGCGCGGCCCTCCTTTCCCAAGCCACACTGGTGCCGGCGGTTCTCGCCCACCCCAATGCTACAGCTTGGACACTTTTGCTACGTTGGCCCTTCCCTCCAAATTCTGGCTCACACACTCGAAAAGTAGAGAGCTTCAGCTGCAGAGTTCTCTACAAAACATAGCAAATTGTTGTGCTCTTTCAATCACATGATCTTACCGTTTAAAGAAAGCAAAAACAAAATTCCCAACATAGCATTACAACTTTTAAAACCATTCACTTCTAGTAGTAATTCATAGAGACGGAGATTAAAGTGCTGGCTTTTAAAATTCTGATGCTGTATTTGGGGGGTGGGGGACCCTACCGAAAGCCCTGCCATGTATTTGTGTTTCTCTCCCATGCCAATGGGAGAAGGAAAAACAGGGAAGGGGAAAAAAACCTAGTTTTGAATCAGACACTGGAAATTGTAAAAATGCTGGGATTCTGTGCAAATTGGTCTCCCAAGGGTCTGTGTCCTCAAGTGAGCCTCAAAAATAAAAATAAAATAATTGGGAACTGCAAAAAAAGGATGGGGGGAAAGTCTCTAGACCTTTACAAATAACCTCCCTTAATAAATACTATTTAGTGAATAATAAAGAGTTGTACCTGCAGAGGAACTCAAAGCAACACTGAGCAGGGCCTGAGGGAGGGGTCTAACGGGATGCTCCTGTCTGCTCGCGGAGGCCCCGCTAGGACCACAGCCCAGGCCCCTGCTCACCCTGTGTGTAGTGGGCGCCACACAGGCTCTGGGGCTGCCCAGTCCGCCCTCCGTACCAGCGTCCACTCAGGAGAGCTGGACTGGGATAGGAGAATGGCTTCCATTAGGCCTTTGTTTAACTTTAATAAAGGACCTGAATGAACGTAAAGGCTAAGTATGTAGTAGGGGACAAAAACAAAAAAAGAAAACCTGGGGGTAATATAAATACAATCTGGGGCAATATTTATTAATTAAAACTATCTTATAGTTTACAAAGAAGCTAAACAACAGAAGTATAATTGACCTTAAAATGCTCAGTGAGACTGAGGCTTCACATCTTCTTCAGAGTTCTGAAGTGTTCTCAGGCGGAGGCAATGGCGCCGCACAGGCTCACAGATGCGACACCTGCGGGCTGTGCAGGACTCGGAGACCAAAGCTGCCACAAAGCAGAAGACTTGGGTCTCCTTTGGAAGTTCCACCCCACCCCACTGTCCTCGTCTTCCTCACCCCCAAATTCCACCTCCAAGGCAAGTCCTCAGTTTATCGTCGGGAGAATCTGTTCTTGAAAGCTTTAATTGTCTTAGCCATCATGGGGGCAATTTCTGTGGAAAGAGAAATAAGGCCCCTGTTTCAGATCCGTGGCAGTTTAGACATACAACACCAGAAGTTAACAATCAGCCAAAGTCTTGCCACTCTTGGTCCTGCACCTCCAGGAAAATGGATGCAAGCAGTAGCTGTTGGCTAACATCACGACAGAAGCAGCAGCACAGAGCTACCACCTGCTGAGCACCTGCCAGGCCTGGAACAATAACTATTTCTAATTCTAACAACCTCACCAAGACTCAGACACTGGCCAACCTGCCCCAATAAGTGGCAGAACTGGAATTCAATCCGGACTCTGAAGGCCATGCTGAGCCATAATTTAACTCTGTCTCATAACACCCAAGCCAGCAAAAAGCATTCCCTTCCCACCCGTCTGCCCAGTGTAGCAATAGGCCTACCACGAGCTAAATGCAAATACCGCGTAAGGACTGGCTAACCTATGCTCAGCCAAAGCTTAAGCCAGGACTCCTACTCTCTCGTGGGCTCTGAGGTGAAGACAGGATAATGCTTTTAAGTTGGGACACCTCCTTAGAATACTGGGCATCATCTATGGTCGTGGTCGGCAAACGCTCGAGAGCCACATTCGGCAATTTGGCCCCTTGAGTGTGGCTCTTCCTGAGAGAGTCTATTTTGAAGAAGTGGCGTTAGAAGAAGTTAATAAGTTTTAAAAACTTGGCTCTCAAAAGAAATTTCAATTGTTATACTGTTGATACTTGACTCTGTTGACTAATGAGTTTGCAGACCACTGATCTATGGTAATCAAACTAATAAAATATGAACAGACACAACTAGATATAAAAAATAAATACTTGGGGCCAGGAGAAGGTCAATGGGGGGAAAAGAAAGGAGACATATGTAAACTCTTTGTAATACTTTAAACAATAAAAATAAATAAGTACTCGGAAGCTGGGGTTTTAAGGTTGTAAAAACCTCATAAGATGAACTATCATGTTGTTGTCAATAATGGTCATGAACCCTGTTATTGCCTGGAGAACGTTTTACATTTAAATTTTAAAAAAGGGGCAGATTGTGAAAATGAACATTCATTATGATCATTGTTTGAAAGATACACATGCATTATGAACGAACGGGGGGCAGGGGGAGGTACTGATATTTAGACCAGCTATGTGCAAGGCATCAGACAGACGCTACCTCCAGCACACACAATGATGCAGGAACGACATTAAAGGGTTCAAACACTAGTTTTGAAATATCTGAGCAGAAACCCCGTCACTCACTCTTCACAGTCGGCTTCCTAGGGTCGTAGGAAACAACGCTGACCACAGGCGCCAAGTGGGCACTGCTGGTGCTGGGGCCGTCGTAGGCGGGTTCTTCGGGGCTGGCAGGAAAGCTGTTGCTGCTGCCGCTGTTGGACGGAACTTGGCTACTTCCTATGGGGTACGGGGCTGGCTTAATCCTGCAACAGAGAACAAAGCCGGATAGCGAGGAGATGAGCGGTCCACCCGCAGCACCAGCACCTGAAGCCGGCCGCCTTTCTGAGAAGACTCCGTTCCATGGCTTTGACGAGCGCCTCCCGCCTGAGAACACTTCAGAACTCATGTGAAGCCCGAGTCTCACTGAGCATTTTAAGGTCAATTATACTTCTGTTGTTATTTAGCTTCTTTGTGAACTGTAAGACAGTTTTAATTAACAAATATTGCCCCATATTGTATTTATATTACCCCCAGGTTTTCTGGAAGTGGCTCTGAGATGACAGTGAGCCCTTCAAAAGGAATGATAGCCTCAACTAACTTTTCACTGTTTAGGCCATGGAGGTGGCGAGGGTCAGATTAGGGGCATCTTTAGAAGGCAGGGCTGGTAGTATTTGTGCTGGATCAGATATGGGGGTAAGAGAAGTCAAGGACAACCTGAGTAGTGGTGTGAGCAACAGGAAGGATGGAGTTGCCATCTGCCAAGATGGGAAAACCAAGAGATGATCAGGTAAAAATTAAGAGTTCATCCAGGCCAGTGTTGCTCAGTGGTTGAGCATTGACCTATAAACCAGGAGGTCATGGCTCAATCCCCAGTCAGGGCACATGCCCGAGTTGGAGGCTCAATCCCGTGTGTGTGTCTGTGTATGTAGGTGGGGGAGAGGGCTTGTGCAGGAAGTAGGCCATGATTCTCTCATCATTGATGTTTCTTTTTTTTAAATATATATTTTATTGATTTTTTACAGAGAGGAAGGGAGATAGTTAGAAACATCAATGAGGGAGAAACATCAATCAGCTGCCTCTTGCACACCCCCTACCGGAGATGTGCCCACAACCAAGGTACATGCCCCTGACTGGAATCGAACCTGGGACCCTTGAGTCTGCAGGCCGACAGTCTATCCACTGAGCCAAACTGGTCAGGGCTCATTGATGTTTCTCTCTCTCCCTCTCCCTTCTTCTTTAAAATCGATATATATATAAAAAAGCCTAAGCCACCAGCTGACCATTTGACCATCTGACCAGTAGCCATGATGTACGCTGACCATCAGGGGGCAAACACTCAATGCAGGAGCTGCCGAGCTGTAGTGATTTGGCAGCAGCGGTTCTCGGGTGATGCACCCTGGAACCAGAGAGGAGGGAGCCCGATTCCTCATCAGGCCATGCGATTCCACCTTCGGTGATGTGCTGTTGTTGCTGGGGCACTGTTGGCCCCAAATATAGTTTACTGTTGAGCTGTGGTGACCAGTGACTGTGACCAGTGAGGGACTGTGGGAGATTGGCTACAGGGCATATTTGGCTGTCTTGCCCAGTCCCACCCTGCTGGCCACCTTCTAATTAATTTCCTTTCAATGTGCACGAATCCACGCACCGGGCCACTAGTATTAAATAAATTAGTCATACAGTAAACTCCACTTTTGCTTAAATAGGGAAAAGGAAGCATAAGTGAGTGTTTCCAAAAGTCAGGCCCTGTTCTCTACTTAACCTTGACCTCTCTGAGAGTCAGCAATAATTACCCAGCCTGCACTGCAGTCAAGGAAGCTGGGGCTCCAGAACCCACTCTGCATTCCCATGCTTTCCCCCCAAAATGAATTGCTTCTTGCACTGGGCTGCCTTCTCGGGGTGAGAAAAAGCTCGTGGACCCTCTTCTCTGAGCTTGCAGAAACCAGAACAGCAGAGATGGTACCTGATTTTCTCGGGCACAGCTGCTCCTCCTGTTCCAAACTTCTCCTGCCTCCTTCGAACATCACGAGGTGGTTTGGCTACAGAGTGGACAAAGGCCATCTTTGCCTGTCGGCCTGTGGAGAAATACGGAGATTAACACCTGCCTTCTGGAACAGAGATGCTACTGTTATTTCAATGATGTACACTATTGCCAGATAAAAGCTTAAGTGCTCCCAAGGCTGAGGGCTCACCAACCCTGAAAACCGCTTTGTAGGGTCGTAGTGTAAGCAGTGGTAGAAAAACCCCACCTCTGCCCCACTTGTGCAAATACAAGAGATTTAGGGGCCAGAGGCCCTACATCAGCGGGGCCTACAAGACCTGCTGTGGCCCAGAGCACAGGGCTCACTATTCTGCCAGGCCCCGTCCTGCCGGCCTGCCCGCCTACCTTTGGGCTTATTGGCATGTGCAGATCGGATATTCTTTGTCAATAGTTGTAGCCGCTGCTCTCGGGCATCCTGAAGCCTCAAGTACATCTCCCGCCAGGACTCATACTCTTCTGGCCTTTCTTCCTTGAAGTCTCGGTGACAATGAACTTTCCATAATTTATCTGTTTCTTCAATTAATACCTAAAACCAGAACCAGGACATCATTTATATGCAAGCATTCTTATGTCTCTCTTTTTCATCCCTAATTACCTAGGTTTCCTAATGATTTTTTTGTCTATATAGAAATATTAAAATACCATGGCTCTAGAAAAAAAAAAAAATCAAATCACAAACTTAAAGTTAAATGTGATGCTTTTGGAGGATTAGAAGATAAGACAACACAAAATTAGTCTAAGATCATTATTTTCCTTTAGAAACATCAGTGAAGGGTCAAGCCAGAGTGAAGTCAAATCCAGGCATTTCCCAAGTACTACACTGAATTGAAATGGCGAGGGGCCTCCTGAGGAGAATATGTCAGGATTCAATCAGATAAGTGTGTCCCAGCATTAGGAAAGGGAAAAGGATTTCTGGATCTATCTCAATGTGCCTAGGCCACACCCAGCCCCTGTGTTCTTTAAAAAACTCTCCAGACACCTGAGTGTCAGCACAAAGCTCTTCCCCGGCCTGGATCCCAGAACTCTCCCTTTGCCTCTGTGAGCAGCTAAGCTCAAAGGAGGTGTGGGAAGTGCTTTCCTGCTCCCTGTGAATCCACCTAAGATTCTAGCCCAAGAGGCCCACTTGAGATGCCAGAGCCAGATGCTGAAAAAAATTTTGTTCAAAGGCCCATTAGCAAAGCAAACAGGCCCAGAACAGTGATCCAACCTGTGGCCTCCCCTCCAGCCGATTCGGAGGCAGTGCTATTTTTAGAGACATGAGCCAGAAAAGTGCCCTCTTCCCACCCAAACGGGATACTCACATGATTGTATTCCTCTATGCGATACAGCTGATCAGGCGTACACCTCTCCAGAACAGGTTCAAGAAGAGAATACGGGACGCCTCCCACTTCAAAGATTGCTGCAGACAATCAGAGGTGAAAGCGCTGAGTAACAGCCAAGCCACCCAGCCATATGGCCCTAGCGGCACAATGAGCTTGAGAGCTAGAGAGAAGCATGTGACTTACAATCAATGTTGTTTTTAAGAACCCGGATGCACTGCTGGTGCAAGGTCATCATTTTGGGGAGATAGGCACACTTGGAACCAGAGTACACCTGCATCTTAGAATTCATTCTCCGTCCAGTGAATCCGGCTTCATCCTCTTCCTGGGAAGAGTGTGCTGTAATGGGAGAAAAACAGAACATAAGTTACAAAAAGCTCTAAGCTATCTAGTGAAAACTCTCCTTCCCACCCCATTCCTCAGCCTCCCAGTTCCCTTTCTCAGCAGTAACCAATGTTACCAGTTCCTTGTGTCCTTCCAGAGAATAAGCAAATATGAATTGTATTTCTTTTTAACCAATAACATACTCACTACTATCGTTTTTTTCATTTACCACATTTTAGAAATCATTCCATGTCAGGACATAGACTTCCCACATTTTTAAAAAAGTTTTTTAAACTAGCAATTTGGCTCAGTGGACAGAGCGTCGGCCTGTGGACTGAAGGGTCCCAGGTTCAATTCCAGTCAAGGACACATGCCCGGATTTCAGGCTCAATCCCCAGTAGGGGGCGTGCATAATGTTTCTATCTCCCTTTCTCTTCCTTTCTGCAATCAATTTTTTTAAAAAAGAGACATGGTAGCTAAGCATTTTATCAGCTTTTAATCCAATTAACAGTCCTAAGAACAAACCATTATTATTCTCACCTATAGAATATGAAACTGAAGCCCAAGGAAATTAAGTTACCACCCAAGTTCATGTAAATTGTAGAAGGCAGAGATGGATTCAAACCCAAGACATTAAACTCCAGAGCCTGTCCAATTAAGAAACTCAGCAAAATCTGATGACACATCATGATTTTCAAAATCTTCCATTAAAAAAAAAAAAAACAGATACAGAAAATTACCTTTTCGCTTTGGTTGGAAGGAGGCTATCAAATCGAGGGAAGGAAGTGGCCGGTAATTGGCCTGTATCACAGGTAATGGGAGGTCTGGCAACACTGGCAGGACATCGGTGGGGACCTGCGGAGGAGAGGCCAGTGACCGGAGTGCCCTGTTCTACAGGCACAGCTTCCCTTCCTCAGTCCATCCCAACAGAGGGGCCAGGCAGACCCAGGCGGGAGGGGGCAACAGGCATGTCTGACCACACAGGTCAGGAAACACATACAGACGAGCCCAGCACCCAGGGCACCTCAGCAAGCACGTGTCTTGGGTATTCTCCACCCCCTGGCAGGGAGAGGCCTGGAGGAAATTACTTCAAACTGAAATTCAACCAGCCACACAAAAGCCAGCCCAGCCCACGGCAGCAGGGTGGGTCCGAGGAGCTCCGCAGAGCCAGACGCTCTGAATGGAAGCCACCGAGGGGCGGAAGGTTACCTTTCTTGGCTTGGCTGCTTCGGCTCCTGCCGCCTGGTGCTTCTCTGACTTGTTTTCGTTCACCTTAGGCGACTTCTGAACTGTGTCCATGCTTTTACTAGTGCTTTTCGGATCTTTTTTTTTCAGTGCTTTTTCCCCAGCAGTCGCAGTTGAGGTTTTCACAACCTTTTTCTTTTTCTTCCGGGGCTGGTCATAGCTGAGGTAAGACTCAAAAGACATGGTGGGCTGCTCAAATTCATCGTCCATATCTGTCTCCTCAACTCGAGGGAGGGAGCCCCCTGACTTCCTGTCCGAATGAGTCTTCCCTTTCCCTTCGTGAGTCTTGAGGTTGTTAGAAACCTTCTCTTTTGCCTTGGGCGGCAGGTCTCCGGCCCCCTTTCCTCTGTCCAAGCTGTCTAGACTCTGCTTGTTTTTGTCTGACTTGGCTTTCTCTGCGTCTTTGTGCTTTTGCTTTTTGCGGTGGTTGTCTGAGGCAGTCTCCAAGGGGGATAGAGACTTCTTGGAGCTGCCCTCTCGGTCCTTCTCTTTCTTGCTACCACTAGAGGGCGCTTTCTCCTTTGTGCCATCCCCCGAGAGGGGCCTGCGGGTTTCCTCTTTGGAGATGGCCTTGTGGGATTTTTCTCTGTTCAAAGGCGACTTCTCCTCTCCCCTGGCATCCACGGGACGTTTCTCTTTATGGGAAGATTTGTGCTCCTTGTTCTGACTCACAACCCCTTTCCCCCGGGGCTCACCCAGGTGTCTTTCCTGGCTGGCCCCAAGTCTGTCCTGAAAGGCATTGCTGTGGCCCTTTCCAGGCTTCTGTTGGGGAACAAAGGGCTCGTGATCCTCGTCTGGGGATCTGTAATGGTCCGCGGACATCTGATGAGGACTGCCGGACGATGGAGGGGACTGAACGTGGCCATAATCGGAAGATTCATGGTCTGAAGAGTAAACTGGGGAAGCCCTGTGGCCCCTCTTTCGCTCCTCTCGTCGCTCCTGACTGTGAGACACTTTGTGAGGTCTTTCGAACTCCGAGAGTTTCCTGTGTTTTTTCTGTCTGTGATCAGGACTGTATTGTTGGCTACTGGAGGCTTTCCAGTTTTCTTGATAGTCCGCCTCTACCTCCTCCTCCTCCTCCTTCTGAAGGGCGTCCCTGGGGCGCTTTCGGGAATCATTCTTCTCACAGTCCTGCTCATCAGGGTCAATGTTTCTAAACAGAAGGATACCCAGATAAAGCAGTTAAAAATCTCAGCGCTATCCTTGTCCAGGACACAGTCACGGACCCTGAATTCAAAGAGCCACAGCGAAGGCAAGAGTTAGAAATAGGCTTTAAGTTTTAAAATTGGGAACTCATGCCCTCGGCGGCATGCTCAGTGGCTAAAGCATCAGCCCATGCACTGAAGAGTCTTGGGTTCGATTATTATTCAAGGGCATGTACCTGGGTTGCAGGTTCGATCCCTGGCCCTAGACAGGGCTCATGTGGGAGGCAACCAATTGATCTTTCTCGCACTGATGTCTCCCCCACCCCCACCCCACTCTAAAAAAATAATTAAAAAGCAATGGAAAAAATATCCTTCTGTGAGGATTAACAACACACACACACACACAAAACTTGGGAACTCAAATAGGGGATGTTATATATAGTTTGTTCACAACTACATAAAAAGCCTTTTAAGAAAACATTAGAAACATCAAACTTTTAATAATACTTATCTTTGGGTGGTAGACTTAAGAAATTTTGATCCCTATTTCTATTTTTAAGTACTTTTTAATACTATAATCATGGATTATTTTAATATTTGAGGCAAAATATTTTAAATAAGGCCGAGAGGAATAATAAAGACACCAGATGCCAGGTTTAACCAGAACCTGAACAGACCCAGAGCCATGTTCTCACCGCTCCACAGGTACCAGCTTCTTCCACTGGGCCACCAGGTCCCTGGCAAAGCTTCCCACATGCTCGTGTTTTCGTAAGCTATTTACTGTCTTCCCAACGCCGGTCTCCTGCAAATTGCACAGGAATTGTTAGAGTTGTGGAAACAGGCTCACCATTTTCAAAGAAATCAGACTCTTGCTTTTCAACAAACCAGTTACTTCCTTCCTAAAATGTACCTTGCAAGCCTCAGTACAAATTAGTTTGTTTCTATACCCCAAACCTCTGACACACAGTAGCAAACAAAGCATACCAGGTCAGAAGAGGAGATACTGAATTAAAACACTTCTCCAATAACCAGTGATTCTGGCAGCTGCCAGACACTGAGCTAACAGCTTTGCATACAGTATCCCAATCAATCCTCCAGTAACAACTCTGTGAGACAGAAATCTGCCCACTGTTACACAGAACACCTACAGGAACAGAACTTAGATTTGAACTCAGGACTAGTTGATGACAAAGCCAATATTCTTTCAGTTTTTAGAAAAATATTTTTGTGATAAAATTCATGTAACAAAATCCACCATTTTAACCTTTTTAACGTGTATAGTTCAGTGGTTTACAGAATATTTACAATACTTTGCAACCACCACCACTGTCTGATTCCAGAACATTTGTCACCCAAGAAAGAAACCCTGCTGCTCCCAATCACCCCCACCCCATGGCAACCACTAACCTCCTTACTGCCGCTGACCTGCCTATTCTGGACATTTCATATAAATGGGATCATACAATACATGATCTTGTGTTTCCTTCACTTCCAAAGCCCATGCTCTTTGTCTTACTGTACAAAGAGGTTATAGTTTTATATAAGATTAAAAGATATACAGTTCTTACCACAAGAATGTCTACTGTAATAGGCAAGGCGGAGAGTTTCCTCAAATATTTTAAGAGCTGTAGAGAATAAAATAAACATTAATTCCTATAAACATTCACTGGAACAAATAATAATATCTGATGGTTAAATACTTACTCAGCCTAAGTATTGTACAGTAACAAGTATGGTTATTATCCCAGTTTTACAAGCGTGAAAACAGGCTCGGAAAAGGTAAGTTAGTTGCCCTAGGACGCAAGTGGGGCGAGATTCCCGCAGGTCTGTGGCTTAGGTTCCCGGCTTTTAAGCACTTGCTACACCAACAGGAAATGAGACTTAAAGAGAATCAAACTGACCAATTCTAAGAAAAATTATCAACTATCACTTTGCCCCTTTTGAGAGAATTTCTAACACAGGTACTGATTTTAGGGAAATTACCCATGGACCTGGCCAGAGAAGAAAAAGGAGAAGTCTCCGCAGGGAAAGGGTATCATGTTTCCGGGCAGTCAGCAGTGTGTAACAGAGCTGTTTTTTGGAAACAATGGGAAGGCAAGACCAATTTCAAGTTGCCAGAATCAGAGCTTTGCCATTAATGGTAAACACACAATGTCTGGGTATATTAGAAAAGTGATCTGGGTTTGCTCACATTTCCTTCCCGTAGTCCCTAAAACTAGGTCAAAATCAGGCTAGCACTGCTGCTAAGACAGAGTTCCGGAGTCAGAGACAGGCTTCAGTTTGGCCCTGTCACCTCCTTGCCAGGAGATCTTGTACAAGTCCGTAACCTCTCTGCACCTCATTCACTCCACCTACAAAATAGGAACCGAGTCCTGTTTCCACTCAAACAACCATGCGTAGTCCTTAGCCATGGAATCCTATAAAAGCTCAATAATTGTTTATAATTAATAATTTCATTCAAGAAACAGATCTTTATTTTTTTGTTAATCCTCACCTAAGGATATTTTTTCCATTAATTTTTAGAGAGAGGGGTAGAGACAGAGAGGAACATCAATGTGAGAGACATACATCAACTAGGGGCAGCAACTGAGGTACATATCCTTGACTAGAATCGAACCTGTGACCCTCCTCCAGTCCAAGGGCTGACGCTAGACCACTGAGCAAAACCAGCTAGGGCTCCAACAGAACTTTAAATGCCTACCTTTGACCTCAACCAGATAGTCCCCAGCCAATCCAAAGTTCTACTTGTTCTATTTCCACCAAAAGTCATGACTAGTCATGTCCTTCTCTAGAAAAGATATATGTACATGTAAACATACTATCATTCAAGAAGCTGCAGCCAAAACCGGTTTGTCTCAGTGAATAGAGTTCAGCCTGCGGACTGAAGGGTCCCAGGTTCAATTCCGGTCAAGGGCATGTACCCTGGTTAGCTTAATAACAAGTTTCCATCTATCTGAGGATGCCCGAGTGCTTTTACCTTGTTAGTGCTTTGTGTGTGTTTTTTCTTGAACCTCATTGGCAATAGAGGGCTCTGAAGTTCATTTTCTCTCACTTATGGAGCTAAATCATTTTTAAAATCTATATAGGAGGCAGTAGAGGGTGTGCAGGAGGCAGCTGATCTATGTTTCTCTCTCAATCGATGTTTCTAACTCCCTATCCCTCTCTCTTCCTCTCTGTAAAAAATCAATAATATATATTTTTTTTTAAAAAAAAAAGAAACTACAAATTACAAGTAGTTCTACAAATTACAAGTAGTTTAAAATAGACTGTGACTACCTTTACATTTACATAGTAGAGAAGACAATCTGTTCTTTTTCCAGTGCAGTCGAGGACATGTCACAATGCTATAGGTGGAGTAGCAAGTATGTTTCTCTAGTCACTCTACCTCAATTACTGAACATGGTCAGTAGGCAGAGCACCTGGATCACAAGTAATAACACTGTGTGACGAGAAGCAAATGAGAAGCGAGTGGTAGATCTAGGGAGTTTCATCTTCATAGTTGAATGAAAATTATACTCCACTTCAAATCTGATCACCACCAACATCCAACTTAAGAGAAAGTTTATGTGCATTTCTTGCCATCAAAGCTATGGATACAAAGATGAATGACAATTCCTTTCCTTAAAGGAAAACTTAGAAGCATTGAAAAGGTTAGAAGTAGGCTGTCTCCCCTAATACCATTCCCAGAGAGGCACTTATATACCATCTACTGTGTCTAGATGACTGTGTTAAGTTTTTACATCTGTCACCTCATTTACTCCATCTTCATTAACCACCTCTATAAAGTGGATGCTATTCTCCCCATTTTATAGATGTGGAGACTTACCTAATGAGCTAGTAATCAGGAATACCTACCACAGCATGTGCTACAAAGCCAGGAGGAACATCCAAAACAACACTGTCCTTAGAAAGCAGAACTTAGCTTACCCCAAAGCAAAAAGCTCCTCCTATAGGATCACACTGTCAGACAGTCTGGAGTCCACAGCATAAAGGGCACCTGGGACAAAGGATCCTCAGGACCTCTGAGAGCAGCGTTAGGATGGGTCAGAAGTCACTGAGGGTGTGTTCCATCCCAAGCCCAGCACTAATGGGAGGAGTGAATGCTATCTGGTTTGCTTTGGGTTGGTAAGGGCGACTTAAAAGCAGACAAAGCTAAAGTCCTGGAGATTTTAAAAATGATTTAGTTCCATAGTGAGAGAAAAGGAACTTCAGAGCCCTCTATTGCCAATGAGGTTCAAGAAAAAACACACACAAAGCACTAACAAGGTAAAAGCACTCGGGCATCCTCAGATAGATGGAAACTTGTTATTAAGCCAACAGACCATTGTAGAGTTTGCAAGAACTGATAACAGAGCACTGAGAACTGAGAAATGTCAAACATTTGCACAATACATGCTTAGGAATTTCAGTTGTCCTCTGCACACTCCCTTCAAACCCAAAGAGCAAAATATGTTCATAAAGACTCCTTAAGTCTCCACTGGCCATCAAACTGTGTCTGGGTAGTCTCACATTCAAAATAGAACAATGAACAGGTAACTTTACCAGCCATAAAAATTATTTTCCATGAAATAGTAGGAATTAAGTGATCCTGTTCTCTGCCTTTGCACCAAGTAAACCTTGACCATAGATAGCCTCAAAAGTGAAAATAGCCCTGGCTGGTTTGGCTCAGTGGATAGTGTTGTTGGCCTGCGGACTGAAGGGTCCCAGGTTCGATTCCAGTCAAGGACACATGGTTGATCCCCAGTGGGGGGCATGTAGGAGGTAGCCGATCAATGACTCTCTCTCATCATTGATGTTTCTATCTCTCTCTTCCTCTCTGAAATCAATGAAAAAATATTTAAAAAAACAAAAACTTTTTAAAAAAGTGAAAATTCAGTTAAACACCAATATTAATACCAGAAAATCCAGGAACCTATGCATGGAATCCATTCTTTGAGTAATAATGGTTTTTAAAAAATATATATTTTATTGATTTTCTTTTTTTTTTTTAAATATATTTTATTGATTTTATACAGAGAGGAAGGGAGAGAGATAGAGAGTTAGAAAAACATCAATGAGAGAGAGTCACGATCAGCTGCCTCTTGCACACCCCCTACTGGGGATATGCCCACAACCAAGGTACATGCCCTTGACCGGAATTGAACCCGGGACCTTTCAGCCCCCAAGCCGACGCTCTATCCATTGAGCCAAACCGGTTTCGGCATATTTTATTGATTTTCTTACAGAGAGGAAGGGAGAGAGATAGAGAGCTAGAAACATCGATGACAGAGAAACATCTACCAGCTGCTTCTTGCACACCCCCTACGGGGGATGTGCCCGCAACCAATGTACATGCCCTTGGCCGGAATCGAACCTGGGATCTTTCAGTCCACAGACCAACGCTCTACCACTGAGCCAAACAGGTTTCGGCATAATAATGGTTTTGAAGTCAGGATTTAGTTGCGAATTCGGTACGGCTATATAATCATCTTGCAATTTTTAAAAAAATATATTTTTATTGATTTTTTACAGAAAGGAAAGGAGAGGGATAGAGAGCTAGAAACATCGAAGAGAGAAACATCGACCAGCTGCCTCCTGCACACTCCCCATCGGGGATGTGCCCGCAACCAATGTACATGCCCTTGACCAGAATCGAACCTGGGACCTTTCAGTCCGCAGACCGACACTCTATCCACTGAGCCAAACTAGTTTCAGCTCATCTTGCAATTTCAAGATCAACCTGTGGGAGCTTGTTGGGTTAACAGAAGGTTGAGGAAAAGGCCATTGTGCCAGCTTGCAGTTTTACCCTACAGTTAGCTCATTGCTGAATGCTAGCGAACGTGCCCTTTGCAAAAATGATCTCCCAACATTTTCTTATCTTTTATTTTATTTTTTAAAATATATTTTATTGTTTTTTTTTTACAAAGAGGAAGAGAGAGGGATAGAGTTAGAAACATCAATGAGAGAGAATCATCTAATCCACTGAGCCAACTGGTTTCAGCTCTCATCTTCTTTTAGTTTTAATTTTTAAAAATTTATCTTAGAGAGATGGAAGGGAAGAGTGGGAGAAGACAGAAAGAGAAACATTGATGTGAGAGAAACAACCTCATATCCACAGGTTGCCTCCCACATACACCCCGACTAGGGATCAAAGAGCAACCTGGGTTATGTGCCGCCTTTTGTTGCATAGGACAACCAACCAAGCCAAACTGGCCAGGGCTTTTCTCATCTTCTTAAGGTTCACGTCAGAACACAAAGCCAGAAGTTCAGGGTGATTTCTTAACTGGGAAGAGAAAGCCAAATACTGGCAATAATCTCTAATAATTCAAATAGGATGAGAAGTCAAACCACTTCCTAATTTGAAATTTGGTTCACATTTCCTAGAAAAGCTACTTCAAAACTTAAATCCTAGTGGGAGAATGACTACAGATACTACATGGTGTATATTTTTAACCTGATAGAAAGACCAAAATTAGGGTTGGGAGATGGATTTACATAATATTGCTTTAAGGTTTTAAAAATCAGTCCCAAACCTATAGAGTTTGGGAAAACGAACTGGTACTAAAAAAATACTGAACCTTTATCAGACGTTCAAAAAGGGTTACTATAAAAAGAAACTTGTAAATATGTCTGGCCACTAAGTACTGAAGCCACAATAGAAAATAACGCAATTATAAGCATTTACAGTTTCACAGATTTAAAACTAAAATGGCTTCCTAAATAAGCAGATCTTTGAGCTAGTGTATGAATTAAAGAATTAAAAAGTGGCCTGAGGGTGAGATGCTGTAAGCAGCCTTTACACGCGGAGGAAAAAGCCCTCCTCTCTGACCAGCCGGGAGCAAGGCGAAGAGAAAGGGGCCTTCAAAGAAGCCGTGAAGGGTGGTGACTAACACCTACGGGGCACTTCCCAGAGCCCAGCACCGCGGCCTTGCAGTTCGGTCTTAGGAAGCAGCAGGTGAGGACGCAGGCCGAGCAAAGACCGTCCCGGCGTCCTCGCTGGCAAATGGTTTAGAAGCAGAATCTATCGCCCCTTCATCTCCACCTCCTCGATCACTTCCTCCGAGGCGCCCGGGGCTGAGGCCGCTCCTGGAAACCGCACTCTGGCCAGAATGCTGACAGAGTGTCAAACCGGGGTGTTCCCACCCGTGGATCTGAATTTTAAACAATTCTAACCTCCACCTCTCCCAGACACGGATAAGATGGATAACGAAGTCGGAGAGGGAGAAGAATGCATTTAAGTTAAGAAAAGCTTAAAAAATAAAAAATAAAAAAAACTAGCTGACTACAATTAAAAATGGTCGCCCACCTCTCACTGCAAAACGAGAAACGTTAGCTCTCACCTTTCTATGAAGTGAGGCCAGAAGGAAATCTACCCGCAACTTCCAACCCCTTTCTTTTTCCAATCACAACCGAAGTTTTCAGGCTCCGTACTCAGCGGAGACGTGGGGTTCGCTTTGCCTCGTTTTTTAAGGGATTTACTCGCAAAGTGAGAAGGTCCAAGTTCTAGTACCAAAGCGTCTCTCGGAGACGCAGGACCACACACCCGCCCGGACCGCACCGCGCACCGGCAGCCCCCCCCCCCCCCTCAGAGCCGGGGACCGGCGCGGGGGACGGGGCTCCGACGGGAACAGCTGGCCCGGGACCCGGGCGGCTCGGGAGCCGCGGACACGCGGAGTCCGCCCGCCGCCGCCGCCGCCCCGGCCGGCCGGGAGGCAGGAGGCCCGGCCCCCGGCCCCGCCGCCTGACGTGCGGGTTCTCCGCGTGGGCAGCGGCCAAGGCCGGAACTTCCCGACTCCGGCTGCGAGCGCTACGCGGCCTGGCTCCGGGTCCGAGCCCCGCGGCCCCGGCTGACCCGGGGGGCCGCGCTCGGCCCACGGCCGTTACGGGGCCGCGTCCGCCCAACGCCCGCCCGCGGCGCGCCGCCCGCTCGCTCACCTTCTTCGGGTCCGGGTTCGCGGCCAGCCGCGCCTGCAGCTTCTCCACAACTTGGAGCGCCGACTCCGCCGCCATCGCTGTCACTGGCGCGGCCTCCTCGCCGGAACTGGGCTCGCGTCGCGTCCTCGGGCCGCAGCTCCGCCCTCCGTGCCTCCCCGGCGGAGACGGAAGCGCTACTGCCCCTTCCGGGCCTCGGCGGGGCGGGGAGGCGCGGGGAGCCGGGCGGCCGCAGGCCCCGCCCCCAGGCCCCGCGGGCCCGGCCCCCGTGCGCGCCCCGCGGCCGGGCTCCCCGAGAGCCGGGCCGCCGGGGCCGGCCGCTCCGGGCATCGCGCTCCAGCCCGCGGTGTGCGAGCCCAGGCCCGGCAGGCGTGTCTCCGCCTCGTTAAGACGGAATGAGGCCACAGCCCAGACTCGGGCTTCATAAATCCTAACCTGATCCGGGTGGGGGGCTGAGCCACGCCCTGATTAACACCTGCCGGTGGTTCCCGGGCGGGTCCGCCGCTCAGGGATTCAGCAGGGATTAAGATTGCGATCACCCTAGGTTGGGTCCCACCTTAATTTCACCTTCATTGCAGCACGATGAAACTTTTCACTTTTCCAATGAGGACATGTAGGCTCACGGAGACCAAATTAATTTTCATGGGGTGAAGCCGGAATTTGAATCTACTATAAATAGTCTAAGTCCACTGTGAACACACATCTCTGAATAGGTGAGCAATGGAGGCCCAGAGAAAAAGGGATTTGTGAAAAATTAAACAGCTTAATAACCTGTGTCTCCTGTCTGGTACCATAGGCACCAAATAATGAATGAATGAATGAATGAATGAATGAACGAACGAAGAACGAATAAATGAATGGGGTTGTTTCCTCTGAAGCAGTAGGGCCTGAATCAGACCAACCCAAGACACCATCTTATCCTAATACTAAATTTTATTGTTACTATTATTAATACTAAAAAGAACTAAATGCCCTGGCTGGTTTGGCTCAGTAGACAGAGCATCAGCCTGCAGACTGAAGGGTCCCAAGTTCTATTGCACTCAAGGGCACATGCCGGGGTTGTGGGCTTGATCCCCAGCGGGGGGCGTGCAGGAAGCAGCCAATCAAATGATTCTCTCTCATCATTGATATTTCTATCTCCCTCTCCCTGCCTCTCTGAAATCAATAAAAATATTAAAAAAAATAAAAAGAACTAAACAGTTGAAAACATTTAAAATACCAACATTGCGAGGTAGGGGGATGTGGAAGAGGGCAAAGGGTAAATAAATGGGACAGAAAGAGACTACTTGGGGCACACAGTGCAGTGTGCAGATGTTTGAGTTGCAGGCTTGAAAACTGAAGGGTTTTGTTAACCAATGTCACCCCAATAAATTCAACTGAAATAATACCAGCAATGATCACACTTATTTGCTTAGACAAGGTTAGATCCCCAGGAGTAACTTGGCAATGTACCTGTCCTCTCAATGTGTGTGTGTGTGTGGGGGGGGGGTGGCGGGCAGAGTCTTCTAGTTCCTTAATCTGGAAAAGGAAACTTGGTATGTTTCTTCAAAGGCACTGTCATACACTCACTATGCTGAGGAGCCCTCCCTCCTGTGCTCCACCCTCTGCTAAGTGCCTCTCCCTCTGAAATTGGCCCTTTTCAATGTGTAGATACATTTTCTGTTTTTCTGTCTTGTCACTGGGCTGTTTGCTTATCAAATGCAGCGACGGACCTGTCCAACATTAAATCTCTGCTGCTGGCACAATCCAGTTGGGATCATCAGTCTTGGATAAATCCATACAAGATTAATGCACCTGGTGCTGAAAACTCAGTCACGGGGTGTGATGGAAAAGGCATCAAACTGCGTGTGAGGGGAGCAGGTCTAGTCCCTGCCCTAGAGTCTCCCTCCTTTACACAGCAAATACTTTTACATTTTAAATTCCTCCCATGTTGAGAATGTAGCATTTATGCAATGGAAAACAAGCAAATTCTTAAAGCAGAATTGCTGACTGACTGACCTAGCATATACTGGGAAGCTGTGGAACATTTGCTCATGGCCAGGGAGGTCTCACCAACCAGAATGAAAAGAAACAATTCACGCTGCCCTTCCACTGCATCCATGTCGGCCTGAGTTTAGCTCATCTGCCAAGAACTCCGACTTCTCTGGTCAGTTAATTATGTCCGTCTTTCTGATTAAAAAGACAACTTTAACCACTTCTTAAAATGGTCCTTTGAACGTGTTCATTAGGGGATTGCCACTATAATCCTTAGTTCACACAAGGTTGTCCATCTTGGATCAACACCACCTAGCTCACAGGTGACATTCTGTGAAGGTCTGTTGAAAACTTAATTATTACATTTAAGGCTAGCCCAGAGTATTAACTGAAAACCTGAGAACTCCCCAGCTCTTTTGCCAGCACTATAGAGGGCCCCCTGTGGGAGGAATTAAGACAGATCTCATTCAGCTGGGAAGGCATGTCTGCGGCTACACTAGAGGGGCAAGACGGACAGGAAGCTCTTGCCTTCCGCTATACACATTTCTGAGTGTTTGCAACAAATATGGGCTGCTTATTTTAACTTTTGAGAAGAGCTATCCATTTGGCTGGCAGGGAAAACCATTTGGCTATCCACTCTATTCACTGAGCCAAACTGGTTAGGGCAGTGGTTCTCAACCTTTCTAATACCTCTGCCCTTTAATACAGTTCCTCATGTTGTGGTGACCCCCAGCCATAGAATTATTTTCGTTGCTACTTCATAACTGTAATTTTGCTACTGTTATGTATCGTATTGTAAATATCTGTGTTTTCCAATGGTCTTAGGCGACCCTGCTAGCAGTTCATCCTAGCTAATTAAATCTCATTTAAAAAACTGAGATAAGTGAGAAAAAGCCACCAACCATCTTGTCTTTAATAGAAAGGAAGCCCTCACCTTTCACGGCATGATTGAGGCTCTGTGGGCTGGACAGCGTGTTGAGTGAGGAATACTGGTGGCGGAGGGCTTCCCCGTGGGCCTCTCCTGGCCTGGCTCTGCCTCTCCTCCATCTTACCAAGTAGCTGCATCTGAGATTGGTTGGATGATGGGTGCACAGGACGCGGGGTTGGGGCATCAGTAACAACCTGAGCTCCAACACTCAGTTCTACCCGCGCTAACCTGGCTCCAGGTCGTTCAATTCACTGACATGGTTTCCTCCTCCTTGACACATTTCTTGTGACGCTTATTCATGTCATACTAATTTACCGGCATTCAGTAGGTGCTGTGTGTGTTTAAGTAGCAGTTATTAGGGAAGATTCATGGCCTTGGTAAAGGGAATCTTGTGTTCTGCTGTGAAGGAGACTATGAAACTCCATCTGAGCAGTGTGTTCTGCACAGCTGTAGCCACTGTTCTCAATGGGCTCATTTTTCTGAATTGACTATATTCATCCTTCAAACATGTTCAGTTGGTTATTTACTCAGGGATGGCATCTTTCTGGGTTTTACAGGCTGGGTTTGCCTTCCTTAAAAATAGTTCTACAAGTGAAGACTGCCAGCTCCAGGGAATGGGGTCTGAGGCTCAAAATCCACATCTTTCAGACTGCCTCCAAGTTGGATGAAATCCCCACTAACAATTTAAGGATATCTAAAAGGCCTAGAAATTCTGAGGTCTTTTATAAATAGCAGCATTCTACAATGCCCATAGAGAAGCAGCCCAGGAAAAATGCTATCACAAAAATCAGAGAGTAATGAGTAAATACTTTTAATACCTCTATATCGTGTATTTATGTAAACTGTTTCCAGGTAATAACCTAAATCAGCAGTGGCATGCTGGTAAAAGCAAGACTTTTTAAACACGCAATACGTGACTATGTAGTCAGGGACACTGACCTCTTTTCCCTTTGTCAAATAAAATCATGACAATAGCCATCCAGTGTGAATGAATCAAAATTATACTTTTTCCGAGACCGGTTTGGCTCAATGGATAGAGTGTCAGCTTGGGGACTGAAGGGCCCCAGGTTCGATTCCGGTCAAGGGCATGTACCTTGGTTGCGGGCACACCCCCTACTGGCAGCTGATCAATGACTCTCTCTCATCGATGTTTCTAGCTATCTCTCTCCCTTCTTTGTACAAAATCAATAAAATATATTTTTAAAAATTATACCTTTTTTTTTTTTTGTCAGATCAGCAAAAAATGTATTTTTGGTGTGCCACATAATTTTTTAAAAAGGTTTTTATTGCCGAAACCGGTTTGGCTCAGTGGATAGAGCGTCGGCTTGGGGACTGAAAGGTCCCGGGTTCGATTCCGGTCAAGGGCATGTACCTTGGTTGCGGGCATATCCCCAGCAGGGGGTGTGCAAGAGGCAGCTGATCAATGACACTCTCTCATTGATGTTTCTAACTCTCTATCTCTCTCCCTTCCTCTCTGTACAAAATCAATAAAATATATTTAAAAAAAAAAAAAAAAAAAAAAAAGGTTTTTATTATTAGAGACATAGGAAGAGGGAGAAACATGAATGAGAAACATCAATATCCATCAGTTGCCTCCTGCACACCCCCTGTTGGAGAATGAGCCTTCAACCCAAGCATATGCACTGACCTGGATTTGAACCTGCAACCTCCTGGGACATGGGTCAGTGCTCAACCACTGAGCAACACTAGCCGGACATTGCAGAATTTTAGTAATGAATTTATGCCTGCCAGGAGATGAAAAGGTTTGAAAATCGCTGATCTAAATGATTTTCCTTAGCTTTTTATTTTTTATTTTTGAGAGGGAGAAACATCCATTTGTTGTTCCACACATTTATGCACTCACTGGTTGATTTTTTTTTTTTTTAACATCTTTATTGATTTCAGAGAGAATGGAGAGGAAGAATAAGAAGGAATGATGAGAGAATCATAGATTGGTTGCCTCCTGCATGACCCCCTCCCTAGTGTGGATTGAGCCCGCAACCCAGGCATGTGCCCTTGACCAGAATTGAACCCAGGGCCCTTCAGTCAGCAGGCCGATCGATGCTCTTTCCATTGAGCAAAACAGGCCAGGGCTGGTTAATTCTTGTATGTGTCCACCAGGGATTGAATCACAATGTTGGTGTATTGTGATGACACTCCAACCAACTGAACTACC